AATTTCGCTAAAAAAACAAGGTTCACCCCCTACAATTTGAGATTTTTGATATTAATCTGATACTGCCCAGTTATGCTAAAAATGCCAAGTTAACCCCTTACAATCTGCAATTTTCAAGAAACATCTGATTTTTCCCAATTTCGCTTAAAAAGCAAGGTTAACCCCTTTCAATCTGCAATTTTCCAGAAACATCTGATTTTGCCCTAATTTGGCAAGGTTAACCCCTTACAATCTGAAATTTTCCATAAACACCTGATTTTGCCCTATTTTGCTAAAAAAATGCAAGGTTAACCACTGACAATTTGAAATTTTTCATAAACATTTAAATTTTCCCAATTTTACTAATAAAAGAAAGGTTAACCCCTTTCAATCTGCAATTTTCCAGAAACATCTGATTTTGCCCTAATTTGGCAAGGTTAACCCCTTACAATTTGAAATTTTTCATACACATCTTATTGTGCCCAATTTCGCTAAAAAATGCAAGGTTCACCCCTTACAATTTGAAATGTTTCATAATCATCTAAATTTTACTAAAAATGCAAGGTTAACCCCTTACAATCTGCAATTTTCCAGAAACATCTGATTTTTCCCAATTTTGCTAAAATGTAAGGCTAACTCCTTGCAAACTGTTGAATCAATACATGAAGTGTCCCATTTGACTTTTTTAAAACAAATTAAATTTCCAGTTTTTAGGGTAAAGGAATTTTCTCTTTTTCCTTTCTCTTTTATTGTTGCTATATTTTGCGAATTAACTCATTCGTATGGAATGCTCATAGTCAATCAAAGAATATTTCACACATAGGGGCCTAAATTATATATTTTTAAATTTAATAGAGACGCATTGATCGTGCTATCATATACCATTCTATTACTATTGCGAATTACTGTATTGTTTGGAATGCTCACAATTAAAGACACGTTATTTGAAAGATGTAACAATAATATTTATATTACAATGTACATTTTAATTCTTTCCCGGTATAATTTATGGCGTTTCTTGCGTCAATAGGCAATCGCGTCATTATATAATGATAGTCAAATTGATCAAACGAAACTCCGTTTTGAATATACTCAACTATGAAATATTCATTGATTTATGACATACACCTTTGTTTCAATTTTGATACTACCCGTAGACCTGCCGAGCAGCTGTAGATATCAAACTTAACCAAAGTATAAAAGATAGAGGGTAAAAAAAAATCAAAAAGTTATGTGCTAGTCAAGCTTTCAGGGATCGGTCTGAGCCATAACAATGCCCCAGCCGATCCCTTAGTTCTCTTCCGGGGTCTCGGCGTCCCCGACCAATACACACTTCCTTCCCTATCCATCCATATAACCCCGGAGGGCCAGGCACCATGTAAAAGCAAAGAGCTAAGGGAGGAACAGGGCGGCCCCTAAGCCCTGATCCTCCGAGTGGACCACATGCCCTGAACCTGTACGAAGGCGCCAACCTGGAACTCGCGGACAGTACCAGCAGCAGTGCTTACCGATTAAGCTAAGGTACTGTTGGTGCTTTACGACGGGAAATTAAATCTCTTATAGTGAATAATTGAACTCATACGTTAAAAACCAAAAAGACACCAGCGGGATTCGAACCCGGGACCCCGCTAACCATGGACGTCGAATCGTAACCACTCGGCCATTTCGTTACCTTAGAATTTTCCTTAAACTAAGAAATGTAGTCTTTATAGGTGAGCAAACGCGCCAGGAAGATTACTGGGTCCATTTGCTTTACCTTAATGGATAAAAACAAGTCGATATAATGAGCCCAGTGTGTTTGGTTTGTTAGGAAGCTGCATAACACAGCCTAATGTGCAAAACAGTCGTGTGCTAGGCGGATCATTACGCAACAATGAACACCGCAATTGTGTATTTTCAAAAGGCAGACGCGTAGATTTCTACTCTTTGTATCTGGGCACATATAGATTCTCACCTTCCTCTTCAGCTATTTCGACTTTCTTAAAAAGAAAAATAGAGACTGTCAGTGAATCTCCGGGAGTTGAAATAAGGATCGTCCCCTCGATAGACCTCAGACTCAGTAAAGTTCAACATTGGGCTCTTTTTCAGCAGCTGTTTTTGCGGAAACTTTACATCTGGATTTTTTAGAAGCATCTGAGTTTGCCCAATTTTAGTAAAATATGCTCCATATTTTGCTAAAAAAGCAAGATTAACCCCTTAACATTTCAGATTTTTCATACAAATCTGATTTTGCCAAATTTTACTAAATATACAAGGTACACCTCTTACAATTTCAAATTTTTCATAAACATTTCTTTTTGCCCAATTTTGCTAGAAATACAAGGTTAAGCCCTTACAATCTGCGATTTTCCAGAATCATCTGATTGTGTCCTATTTTGCTAAAAAAAAATGCAAGGGGAACCCCTTACAATTTGAATTTTTTTCATGAACATCTAATTTTTCCCAATCTTATTCAAAAAGCAAGGTTTACCCCTTACAATCTGCAATTTTCCAGAAACATTTGATTTTTTTCTCATTTTCGCTTTAAAAAAAATGCGAGATTAACCCCTCTGAATTTGAAATTTTTCGTAACATCTAACTTTGCAAAAGTTCACTAAAAAAGCAAGGTTTATCCCTTACATCTGAAACTTTTCGGAAACATCTGATGTTGCCCAATTTCGCTAAAATATGCAATGTTCACCCCTTACAATTTGAAATGTTTCATAAACATCTAACCCCATACAATCTGCAATTTTCCAGAAACAAGTGTTTAAAGTGAGGGTTGCGGGGAAGTTGCGCGCCCGCAAGCATTTACGGGTGCTTTGTGAATAAGGACCCATTTGCTCCGTGCGTCCCCGCCTGGCTCGCTCTTAACCCTAAAAGGGCCGGGGCGGATCCGCCTCTCTCAACTTTTTTTTGATAGCCTTGAATTTTTTTCGCGACCCGAGCTGTGTTGAATTTTTTGCCTCGAGCCTTGCGCATCTTTTGATACCAACAACATAAAACTGATCGGACCCCCTAAAAAATAAGAAATTATGTACGTCGTGTACACAGAGCAGAATTACCATTCGTACATATGAATAATTAATTAGCCATAATTCCAAAACCATTTGTCCTATAGTCATGAAATTTCTTGGGTATGTTCATGATGAGTTGCTCTATACATGTATCGAGTTTCAAAATTGTTCGTCACTCGATGGCCGAGATCTTAGGAGGGGCGGATCCCCCCCCCCCCGACTGAGAGACGGTCAAAATAACCCGGCCCTTTTAGGGTTAATCATAAGTTAGTATAAGGAAAGATACCAACTCTTGAAGTTGACCCGATCGATTTTCTCGTCACGAGACGATACTTTGCATCATTTTTTTTTCACTGGCGTGCGCGTGGATGACAATTAAGGTTTAAAAGATACCAATCACTCTTGAGGTTGACGTGAGAAGATACGTGACATAGTTTTATTCACTAGTGACGTGGTTAACAATGAAGGTTTTAAAGCTCAGAACTCGTCATACGATGAATGGTGTGAAACCGTCCTGAATAGTTATCTCCACCAGAAAGTCATAGCCTCCTGATTTGTCATCACGAGTGAGGTTAGTTTTAGAGAGATGGGAAAACCTGTGGTGTATTGTTCAGTGATGGTAAGCGGTGTCGGGGCAGAAACCATATGTCGAGATCATCTGTCGAGATCATGGTTTCACGACTCCCGTTACTGCCTCAAAGATGAGCAGATGCCGTGGCAGAACGGCTCCACAATCTGCTCAGACATGGGCGGTGGCTTGGCGATACCTGACTCCCTGGAGGAGCAACAGTTCATCAGTGGGAGATGTTTCTCTACACTATGCGCACCTCTGAGGATAGCAAAACCAAAATGACTACTCAGGAAATACCATTTTGCCTGCAATTTTTTGCCTGATATTTTGTTTATGTTAATGGGATACTATTTCATCAGGGATTGTATTTTAAAAGTAGCTCTTCGTCTTGTTTTAAGTTTCAACCCGAAAATATACAGGTACATTCTAAACTTAAAAAAAAAACCCAGTAGCTGTGTCACTATATAGCGAAAAAAACAAGCATTTGTAGTTGGGGCATGGGAAAAAAAACAAAGGATTTGCGGCCCAACAGTAAATTTCATGGTTATTTTGGTTTGTTGGCGTAAGAAGCGCACCCCCTCCCCGTAATTATGCTGTTAATTGGGGCCGGGGAGGTCAAAAAAAACATGATGTGACAAAGTTGAAAATTCCATATAAAGAAGAGAAAAATGAATTTCTGGTGGAGCGGATGGGGAGAGGCAACTTAAAACATACAGCTGCCAGTCATAATACATTTGTATATTGAACAGGGTGATGAGACTGATGCATGGTATGTCAAATGTTTTGTTCCCTTCAAAAAAAAAAAAAAAAAAAAAAAAGAAGAAACCGAACTTTACAGTTTATTGTAGGTTTCCCCGGCTATTTTAAAACGTTTGTCATTCCAATTCACCGATTCTTATATTCAAATTCGTCCATCAACATCAATTTATAAATTTAGTGCACTTCCAATGTTTAATTTCGTCTTTTGTCGGACAATTTCAAATCAGTTCAACCAAATGCTAACAATGAGCACACGTTTTCGTCCGGGGTATTTGGTTTCGTCTCTTCTACGCCAAACCTTGTTCTTGTTACTCAGAAATCAAATTCGTCTAATTGATTTATATCAAGCGAGTTCGATTTCTGAATGCTGCCTTACGGCAACAGCTTAGAGGCGAATTTGATCATAATGTTCTCGTGACCCGCGCGGGGAAAGAGGGTGACCAAACTTTGAAATTGAATGGTAAATGACTAAATTGGGTTTGTTAAAAAGCTTGTCAAATTTTTCTCCGACGAAAGTGAATTTGAATGAAACTTGAAATGTTTTAAAATGGCGGGAAAACATATGCCCTGCAGGCGGGCCTAGAGTAGGCCTACTTATTTTCTGCGCCACGCGCCCAGTGCACGTGTACGTGTACATGTACGTTCGTCACCATTAGCACTGCTGATTGTGTGTGACTCTTGAGGGCGTTCTTTCAATGTCATTTTCTAAACCAAATCTTAAGTTTCCTGTGTACGATCTCAGCTAGCTCTGCGGCTGACTCGAACAAACTCGACTTCTTTCCATAGCCTTTCGTGATGAAAGGCTGTAAATTAGAGCATTAAATTTGCAAAATTGCACTCCCACAAGCTGAAGGATATTTCTGTGATCTAATCGCTTGAACCTTAACGAAGGTAGGCCTATAACAAAAAGTATAAAAGTTGCTTTCCCATTTCCATTGTATTGTTTGTGATTGTACTTGAACAATGTTGAAGTTGAAGTCTAGCATGTCTAGTATTATTACTTTGTATTAGCCCGATTAGTACTTGTTATACTGGCATGGCGTTCGTGAAGTGTAGGGCCCCTGTTTTGTTTTGATCAAATTAGAGTCAAAAATGTTTTTTTTTTATGGCAGTGTATATTTTGCCGGAGACGGCAAACCTTTAGTAAACGTTAGTCATGTTTTGCCGGATATGCACTGAACATGCCACATACAAACTTATCGCGAAAATTCACCTATGCAAATTGGGGTCAACACGCCCCTCATTATGACGTCAACGTTGAGTTCGTGCTTGCGCTCATGCCATCAATTTCGGCCCGACTCACTTCAGTTTTATGAATGAAATCATTATGCGTCGGAGAGTGAACATGCCAGAAATTTACAGTAGAAAAGCTCATGATATCTGCTTTCTTTTGCCGAAGAAAGCTTCAAAATCGATGAACTATTGCCTGAGTTTTGACAGTTCAAACATTTTTTAGCGTGTTTTTTTTTAGGAACCAAAACTTCTTATTTTTCGACGGAGTCCATCTTTTTAATCCTAAATTTCTTTCTTCTCGAATTTGGTTGGGGAAAACCTGAATTAGTTCCATATAGAACAGGTTTTCAGCTTTTTAGTGGTGTGGCACATGTGGGTGGTCGGTCTGATACGGCGATGGTCGCGAGCAATATGCATAAAAATTGCTCGCTAGAACTGCCCGAAATTGCGAATGATAGTGAAGTAATCACGTGATATAAACACGTGCAACGTGCATGAGATATATATAGCTCAGTGGAAGACGGTTACGAAGATTAAAGGGATCCCGTTTGATTAAAGGGATCCCGTTTGATGAAATGTGTGTGTGTCTCTTTTTTTCTGTCCCTTTTCCCCTGTATCCCGATGCGACGGGGTTGGGCGGTGGGTTGGGGTGGGGATGGCCCGCGGGTGGGGCGGGGGAGGCCTGCAGGTGGGGTGGGGGAGGGGGAGGGGGAGGGGATGGGGTGGGGGCGGGGGAACAAAGACACAGTGGGTGGAATATGCACATTCTTTGGGTGAAGGGCCATTGCATATATCCAAACACCTTGAGGGGTGGGGTGGGGTCCCCTGGGTGGGGGGAAAGGAACGGGAGGGGGGTACTGAGAACCAGGATAATGGAATATTTCCTGTCTTTCATTTCTAACACCTGCACCATATCAGGACCCCATGGAAGGGGAGTGCACATAAGGGGTTGCCGGTGGAGGGGTGGGGGGAGGGCGTGGGGGAGGATGCCTCGCGAGTGTAGAGGGGGGTCGGGGGTAGAGTACTCAAAACCAGGAAGCTTAAAATCCGGGGGGGGGGGCTCAAAAGGAGGAGGGTGGAATTTCACATTTCCTTTTCTTTTTTTCGGTCCTTGCAACATATCCCGACCCTAGTGGCCGGTGGGTGGTGGGGGCCCCCACCAACACAGAAATCTTGATATGCAAATTAGGTAAACAGCGCCGCTCATTATAGCATCATCATGAAATTCTTGCTGACGCGCATGCCATCTACTTCGGCCAATTTTCGGCCAGACTCCTTCAGTTTTATGAATAATATCACTGTAGGCCTACATCAGAGGATGCACCTGCCAGAAATTTACATGCTGAAAGCAACAGAATGATGTCCGCTTCCTTTTGCCGAAGACAGCGTCAAAATGAAAGGGTGAGTTTTGACGATTAAAATATTGTTTTCGCGTTTTCCTTTTTGGAACTCAAACTTCGTATTGTCCAAGGGAGTCCATCTTTTCAATCCTGTTTTCTTCCTTCCAACATTTTGTTTGAAATCAAATGAATTAATTCCGAGTAGTTGAGTTTTTTAGCTGGTGAATGGTGTGGCCTAAGTGGGTGGTCGGTTTAATAGTGCGATGGTCGCGAGCAAAATGCATGGAAGTTTATTACTGGAACTGCCAAAAATTGCGAATGATTGTCAATTATTGATCACGCCGGCTATATCCGGCCCGCCGGCACCGCGCGCGTTCTAATAAAAACCCAAGATTAATAAAATGATCGGTTACACCTCTATGTTCCGACACCCCTATGTTCCGACTGCACATATTCCTATTCCTAACCCTAACCCTAACCGGGAGTAACACAATCTAGGTTGTCGGAACATAGGGGTGTCGGAACATAGAGCAGTCACCAAATAATCAAGATGTTTTGTTTTCTGATAAATGATGTGACTTTATTATTGGGAATACCACTTTCTTTTTTTCCTTTCCCCTGCCCTAGATACCATATTCCGACCCTGGGGATGGGGCGGTGGGGGGGGGGGGGGGGGCGGAGCGTGGTGTTCAAACCACGCCAAGAGGGCTAAAATTGTTTTTTCCAACAAGTGAAGTTTGTCTTTTAATTTGGTGCAATGACGTTCCCGACCAGACTTTCTTTTACTGCGATATCATGGACCGGGCCGGGGTTGAGGCGGGACCGTATCATAAGTCCGACGCCTCATAGGTCCGACGCCTCATAAGTCCGAAATTTCGGACTTATGAGGCGTCGGACTTTATTTATTCCGCCTCATAGATCCGACGCCTCATAAGTCCAACGCCTCAAAAGTCCGACAACGGAAAAACGAGTGTCGGACTTACGAGGCGTCGGAGCTATGAGGCGTCGACCTATGAGGCGTCGGATTTATTAGGCGTCGGACCTATGAGGCGTCGGACTTATGGGCCTTTATTTGGTTAGGGGATGTGATTTTGTCGGACTTATGAAGCGGCGGACTTATGAGCGGACCCCGTTGAGGCCGGGTAGGGGTTGTGGGGTGGGGGGATTTCCCAAAACAAAGAGGGTGGAATGTCCTTTATGTTCTTTTAGTTATTAATCTTAAGACGTGCTGCTCTTTGGGGAGAGAGGTGGTGGGGCCGCATGAGTCGGGGGTGGGGGGGGGGTGGGGGGGTTAAGGTACTCCAAACCAGGAGGGTTGAATATCCCGGGGAGCATCAGAAGGGGAGGGCCTGGAATTTCCCAATCTTCTTTTGTTTTCATCATCATTATCATCATCATCATCATCATCATCATCAGACGTCGTAGGCTACTGCCCGTTGACGCAACAACCGTCCACTTCTTCTGGGTTGTGTGACTGGTGAAGGGGTGATTTCCTTCGCTGAAGGGTCGCCGCAGTTAGTTTATCCACGCTGAGACCGCTCCATCTGGTGAGGCCGTCGATCCAGCGGAGTTTGGTCATTGCATTATATCCCGACCCTTGGAGACAGAGGGTGGGGGCCCCGACAAACTATTCACAGAAACCTTCGTATGCAACTAGGCGAACAGCTCCGCTCATGATGACGTCATTGTCAAGTTCTTGCTTCATTACGCGCATGACATCGTCTTCGGCCAATCTCACTGGGAGTCCATCTCTTCAATCCTATTTTTCTTCTTTCCAACATTTGGTTCGAATTCAAATGAATTTATTCCGAATAGTTGAGGTTTTCAGCTGTCGAATGGTGTGCCACATGTGGGTGGTCGGTTTGATAGTGCGATGGTCGCGAGCAATATGCATGGACATTTTTCGAAGGAAATGCCAAAGGATTGCATATTCTTCAAGTGATTTTATTCAGACTTGCTTGCCCGTGGGTGGAAGGGGGGGGGGGGGACGGGTTGGATTTCCCAAAACAAAGAGGATGGAATATCATTCCTGGGAGAGAGAGGGGGAGAGAGAGGTGGAGGGGTTATCGTACTCCGAACCAGGAGGGCTGAATATCCCCGGGAGAGCCGCAGATTGGGAGGGCCTGGAATTTCTCAATCTTCTTTTGATTTGGTCCTTGCATTATAATCCCGATCCTTGGGGCAGAGGGTGGGGGCCACGACAAACTATTCACAGAAACCTTCGTATGCAAATTAGGTGAACAGCGCCGAATTTTATGACGCAATCGTCAAATTCTTGCTTTAAAATACGCGCATGACATCGTCGTCGATCAATTTCGGCCACTCTCGCTAGGAGTAGGAGTCCATCTCTTCAATCCCGTTTGTCTTCTTTCCAGTATTTGGTTCAAATTCAAATGAATTTATTTCGAATAGTTGAGGATTTTAGCTGTCGAATGGTGTGCCACATGTGGGTGGTCGGTTTGATTGTGCGATGGTCGCGAGCAATATGCATGGACATTTTTCGAAGGAAATGCCAAAAATTGCGAATGATCAGTAAGTCTGTATACAGTATACACGTACGTACGTGCAGCAGAGCAGGGGATCTACCCGATGTTCCCCAATACCGATGTTCCCCCAAATCCATAGGATTAGGGTTAGGGTTAGGGTTAGGGTTATATTGGTAAGGATTTCGAGGAACATCGGTATTAGGGAACATCGGAATTGGGGAACATAGACATGCACCCGTGCAGGAGCTATGGAAGAAGCGTAAAGCAAGGATTCCGTTTGTTGATGGCCTTTTTTTTCGTCCCTTACTATCCCAAAGCGACGGGACGGGGTTGAGTGGGTGGGGTGAGGGAGGCCCGCGGGTTGGAGTGCAGGTTGGAAGGGTGGGGAGATAGGGGGCGGTGCACCGGGAACACTCCATGCACATTTTTTATTGACCCTTTGGCCTTGCCAATTATCCCGACCCCTTGGGGCGGGGCGGGGATAAAATTTCCTTTGTTCCTAAGTTTTCCTTTTTTTCCGTGCACCATTATCCAGACCCCGGGGAAGGGGGCGTTAGGGACGGGGGGAGGGGCGAATGGGGGATGGGGGCAAATGGGGGATGGGGCCGCGTCCCCACTTCTACGCCTGTGCAATTAAGCGTGGGTGTGCGTGTGTGTGTGTGTGGGGGGGGGGGGGGGGGGGGGGAGTTTAGAGTACTCCGAATCAGGAGGTTGGAATATCATGGTTTTTTTTATTCACCCTTTGCGCTGTCCCCTGGCGCGGAATGGAATATGGGGTGAAAATATCTTATTTTCATGCAATGATGTTTTTTGGGTTTTTTTTTGGGGGGGGGGGGTCTTTATACGAAAACTTAAAAACAGTAATCATGAAAAATATAAAATTTAATAAAAATGCAAATTGCAGAAACGAATATCTCATATCTATTTTGTGAAAATGTTGTGGCTCTGAAAAGAGCCGTTTTGGTTTTAGTTTGTTGATTCGATGATTTCTTCGAAGGCTTGGCCGACACTTTCTTCTGCTTGCTCGATGTGTTCTTGCTGGCTGGCTTCTTGGCTGGCTTCTTGGCTGGCTTGGCTGGCATGGCTTGGTGGAGGATTTCTTGACAGATGTATATTTGACTTGGATGGCGTTTTCTTGGCAGCTTTCTTGGGTGACTTCTTCGGCGCGGGTTTCTTGACTTTATTCACCATTTTGGCTTTCTTGGCTTTTCTGCAATCTTGGCTTTCATTTCCTGTTCCTTCTTGGCCTTGATTCTCTCCTTCTCCTTAGCTGCATTAGCCTTGGCCGGCAGCCTTCTCTTTCTCCTCGGTGGTGTCAAACTTGAACGTACCAGCGGCTCCCTTACCTGCCATCCGAGTGAGCCTCCAACTTCATTGATTCATGTTTTATTATTTAAAAGTTTACTCTAGCATGGCTTATTACACAGAAATTCTTAGGGTGGATTATCTGGATCCGCACGTCCGTACCCCCGTGGGCGTACCAAACACCTCCCGCATGCAAAAAAAACCATATCTTTTTTCGCCTCTTTGGCCGACGTTCTGACTTGGTGGGTCCTTTTTCCGCAAGTTCAGAATATTTTCTCTAAAAATTGGTGCAAAATACATGTATTTGAAATGCCTTCCTTTGTCAGAAACCAACAAAATAGAAACTGCATTCTCATGTTTAGACGATACACAATGACATCAGAGGAGAATAACAATCAGTACTGACGAACTATTCGCTCACAAGATGCCTTTGATCACTAGTTCTCCATAATTATTTAGAGTATTTTGTATTCGGAGTATTCATCATTTTCCATCGTTTCTGACCTTTCAATAACATTGGACTTAAAGGGAAATCTTAAGGGCTCCGCTAAGCCTCATATAATTATGTCAGACGCATATAGGCCCCAAGTCCGGCAAAATCTAATATAAGGCCCATAACTGTTATAAAATTCCGACGCCTAGGTCCGACACCTCATCAGTCCGACGCCTAATAATTTGGAAATTTCGGACTTCCGAGACGTGGCGGGGGTCCAGGTTTATCATCGGAGGAGTCGGACTTGCGATATATAGGCCTAAGGCCCCGACCTTGATAGTATAGCCTCCCATGCAGCTACGGAACAACTCGAAATTTGGTTAATCAGGGTATATATATTGTTTTATTTCGTAGTACTATGCAGTTTTCTTTGACCATGGAGGGATGGTTTGACTTTCAGGTTTTGAGTTATCAGTGTTGACTTTATCCAGATTTTGCTTATTCCAATTTGTCAGCGTTTTCACGAAGGGGTGAATTTGCCGCAATAGGTGTTGGGGTTTAACGGTTAGGGTTAGGTTTGGGGAACAGGTATAACATAATGCACCCGTTGAACTTGCAGTGGTTGTCAGAAAAGAGGTTTTAAGTTGGTCACGATTTGGAATAAACATTTCGCATACTACTGACTAACTTTTGAAACACAGATGAAACTTCAAAGATGTACCAATTACAGAATAATGGAACAACAATTGCGAGGTACCGGTATCGTAACTAATCCCCATAGATGTTTGTCTGGTCGTGAAAACTAAATCCCACACACTTGTTGTTTTGGCAAATTGCCGATACCCATTCCCCACCCTTTGCACGAATTTGTCTCTTCGTAAAAAATCAAAAGACATTCAGGTGAAGTTTTCTCAACATTGATTGTTATGATTTCGTTGATTTTATCTGATTTTGACCCAGACTTCTTTCCAAAAAATGTTCGTTGCGTGCAATTTCAGCCGGAACAAGAATTTTGAAAAAAGGTATGATTTTTGGATTGATAATTTAGTCCCTCCGTAAAAACGCTGAAAACCTTTTGCAATTTGATTCAAAAATTTCAAAACTATTTTTTAAAAGACTTGTCATGCTTACTGCTTACTGCTTACTTACTCTGATTCGATTTTTAAAGAACGGGTTTTTGACTATGTATTAGCCTGGGGGAGATTATAATCTGGATTTTATTTTCATGCCTTTGTTGTTATAACTTCTCGACATTATTGACAAGTGGTGAACATTCATATTCGTACTTGTATTAGTCATCTAAGTTAAAAGCAAACACATTCTTGTCCTGGTGTAAATCAAAGAGTAAAAACAGTAAAAACAGCATGCAAGAACTGACAATAGTAAAACTTACATTTAAATTAACCTATGAATAAAATATGCCTGTAAAACACAATAATTTTTAAAATGATAACATAAAGACTGATAGCAAAAAGACACGATGCCTATCCGCCCTGGGCTAGCACTATGACAATGAAATATAACTTTAAAAATATGCCGGGGAAAAAAGGATAAAGAACTTTAAAAATGTTTTTTTTTTTCCATCGTCGTAAAATACTAAAAACTACAGGTGCAGATTTTGAAAAGTTATTAAACTTAAATAAAGTTATTTCGTACTGTGTTTTCCAGTGGCTAATTCACAACAAATGATGTAGAGATCTAAACGGTCTTTCATATTTGCTGTATTATTATGTAACTTTGAATATACATGTAATGCCAAATTGCATTTTGGTCAAAAATAAAATGAAGCAAGCTTCGAGTCGAACTCCGATTTGAAAAAATTGACTTGAAGCTCGCCGATCCCCTGGATCATCCAATACATGTACATACACGTATACGTATTTGTATGCAGCATGTATGCATAGTGCCTGGCCGTGGCGTGGGAACGTATCAGATTACATATCGGCCGACCGCAATATCGATCGGTTCAAAAATAGAGATGGTCCGCGCGAGAATTGACCTAGATTGACCCGCAAACGTTCGGGTTGTCTGTGACGTAGGCAAGTCACCGACATATTTTTCTAAAAATGACTGCAAGTGCGCAGGCGTGCAAATTCCCGCACGATGCATAGGCCAAGTTCGTATGTGCATGCGCGGTTAGTAACTGTTTTTTTTTTACTTAAACATTTTCCGGTGAAAAGTTTTAGTCTGGCTCCATGCCAAAATTATCGTTGTTACCTCGTATTCACAAGATGGGATTCAGACCATTTTATAATTTCGAACTTTATTTCCCTTTTAAAAAAAATCCTCCAGAGCCACAAATCTGAAAAAGAAAATGTAATACTCTGCAAAAAATGTTTGAGACATGTTAAAATAATAAAAGAAGAATATTTATTTGGGGATGAGAATAAAAAACTTTAAAATGTGATGCGGTCGGAATCGAACGCGAGTCATCCCTCTTTCTAGAGCCTTTGCTTAACCATTACACCAAACGTGCTACACAACTTTTGGTGGGAAATTAATACATCTTATAATTCAGCCCTCTGTTGATATGGATTGCCGCCGGCAAACCTTTAGCATGTTTAGTAATCGTTAGTTTGCCGTCATTACCTCCGGCAAAATATCCACTATCTTTTTTTATTGCTCAAAAATCACCTTTAGGCTGAGGGAATGAAAGTCATGGAATACCGTCCTAGAAAACAGCCAAAGGAAAGGGAGTCGTCGGTATGCAGCGCTAGTGCTGGTAACAGCGCGCTATGTATGCACGTATTGTATATGTACCGCGTGTTCACTGTATGTACTCTGTTCGCGTGGGCAGATTGGGTTTTGTGCAATGTGGTACACAGAATACGACTATTAAAAGTAAACTGTTGTGGCCGGTCCTACTAAAGCGCGTCAACAAGAGTCAACAAGCGTCAACAAGCCTCAATGGTCGTCAATGAGCGTCAACAAATTTTGTATAGGCTTTTGAACATTAGAAACAGTTTTATATGGTAGAAAAAAACAATAAAGAACATCTTCTACATATCAATTAAAGTTAAAATTATTTTAAAGGCAGTGTATATTTTGCCGGAGACGGCAAACCTTTAGTAAACGTTAGTTTGCCGGATAAAAAATATCCTCCAGAGCCACAAATCTGAAAAAGAAAATGTAATACTCTGCAAAAAATGTTTGAGACATGTTAAAATAATAAATGAAGAATATTCTTATTTATTTGGGGATGAGAAAAAAAACCCTTAAAATGTGGTGCGGTCGGAATCGAACGCGAGTCATCCCGCATACTAGAGCCTTTGCTTAACCACTACACCAGAAAAATGTTGTAACCTGACGCCACTTTTTTCTTCATATCATCTCAATGAAGGTCATTCGTTGCAAAAATGATGATAAGACATGGATCTGGGACTGAGAAACATTTCCAATTTTGTTAGGAAATGACCTCGACACAACAACAAATTGTATATTATGTGCAAAACTTTTTTTGAGGTCACGCATGGTACGCTGGTAATCCGTGTTATGCACGTGCGAAATGGAAGGAGCAGTCTGGGTACCCATACATGTACTTTCAACAGGGGCGCCGTTCAAATCCATCGATTTTTAACACTATATTACAGAATAGTGTACAAATACCACCTAACATAATCAATATATGTACATATCCATGCCCCAGGGTTGCGTAGAAACACTCGACTCACAAGATTGTACGGGTACCCAGACTGCTCCTTCCATTTCGCACCATGCTTATGGTGAAAGCATATATTGCAGGTGCAGATATTCGGGGCCATGTGGTCTACAACCATGTCAATGCGTGTGTACGCACTTGCATGTGGACATGGTAAAGTACCTTACCGGTAAGTACTGCGCAAGTTGAAAATTCATGTGCAATTTGTTTGCCGAAAGTATATATACATATATGTACATATCCATGCCCCAAATCCAATCGATTTTTAACACTATATTACAGAATAGTGTACAAATACTATTTCACCATAAGCAGTAGCACGGTTAGAACGTGTGCATTGACAATATACACATCTTATGATGACATATTTATACTTTTGTTCATTCCCTGACAGCCCCTGTTTACCTTCTTTAATGATATATTTTTATCTGGCATATAACCTTTTTTTACTCTTTCTGAATGTCTAAAGATTTCAAATCAACAAAAGAAATAAAATAAAATGGATAGAATATTAAATTAATACAAATCACACTTCAGGGTCTTACACTAGTTAGTACCAGAAAATGTCAGTGGTGCAGGCCAGTATACAAATTAGGCATTATTTTAGGGTCTTGGGGAAAACATAACGGGGGCAATTCCACCATGACTGACATTTTTTTTTTTTTTCATTATTTTTTTTAAAGTAATTTTGAATACCAAATCAGCTCTAATGTCTAAACAATCACAGCCAACTGAACCATGTTTGGCGTGGGGGTTACTATGACCTAAATACACAATACAGTATTGAAACTTTGAAAATTTACATTCAGCTTTTTCGACTAGGGGGTTGTTTACTGCCGTGACTGACATTACAAAAAGTGACACAACCCAAAAATATTTTTAAAATTTCTCTTCAAGTTTTTTAGAGTGCTACAGATCTAAACCATTTGAACTTTTTAGCTAATAGGGTTACTAACACATGTAGTAAGATGGGGAAAAGTCTTGGTGAATTTTTCAACAAATATGCAAATTAACCTCCATGACTGACATTACCGTGACTGACATTACGCATTAGATTCATTACACCTATTAATTAACAACAAATTAACACTAAAACAATACCTTTTCTATCAACGAGAGAAGTGTCAACTAACTGTTTTATGCTATGCTTGAAGGAACAATTATAACTGTTAGATGTTTAAAGGTTGAAACATGCATTAAGTGTCATGGAAATAGGCATGGTTGCGGGGCATTTGTGTTTTTTAACACTACTTTTCTTGTTTTAAACTGATTTTGAATATCAAATCAGCTGTAATGTCTAAACAATTACAGCCAACTGAACCATGTTTAATATGGGGGTTACTAGGACCTGAATACACAATACAGTATTGAAACTTTGAAATTTCATGTTCAGCTTTTCCAACTAGGGGGGTTGTTTACCATGTTTACTGTCTTGACTGACATTACTACATGTAAAAGTGACCCAACCCAAAAATGTCAAACATGTTTAAAACATTTCTCTTCAGAAATCTATATGAACAGATCTAAATCTATGAACATTACAGCTACATGTAATAGGGTTACTAACGCATATAGTAAGATGGGAAGAAGTCTTCATGAATTTTTAACAAATATGCAAATTAACCTCTGTGACTGACATTACATTTGTACCATGACCAACATTACGCATTGGATCCATTACACCTGTTAATTAACAACAAATTAACACTAAAGCAATACAACGAACCCGGTAATTAGTAGATTGTGTGAATGATTTAGTAAATCATGGGAACGAATGAGCAACAGCTGACAACCCCCCCCCCCCCCAATCCTTACCTGAGCTTCATATCATAAAAACACTGTAAAATGCCATGTTCATGCAGTGAAGGTTTTTTTCACACAGCCTGGAGTTTGGGTGGCTCCCTGATTGTTGGTTGATAAAACACCCTCATAACACCTTCAGGAAGGAAAGAGTTAAAGCCTTTCTGCCATAGAGGTATAAGCAGGGTAGCCAGTTCTAATGAGGCAGAATGATAAAATGCACTAAGGCCAAAAAAAAAAGGTCTCCAGTTTCTGGTATGGAGCTTGCCCAAAAGTGGTGTGGCGACACGGCTTTTGTTTTTTTTACCTGATTTTTTGCTTCAAATGTCGGCTGATGACTGCAAATGATGCTCGACTAAACTTAGTGCAAATTTTATGGGAGTCCAGAGAGGCCACACAAAGCTTATTCTCGACCATAAGCCAATCTAAAAACACGTTAAAATTGTGTAGCAGCAGGATTCCAGTCAGACCAGTGAGTTGGGTGGTTTTCAGACATTCATTGAAAAAAAACCACTTTTTCATTTTGCTGACGCGCATGGCTACGGCGACGCGCGCGCATACCAGAAAACCGGAGACTTTTTTTGGGGCCTAAGAGTGGCTTGGATGGTACCGGTACATGTTCAACAGTTAACTGGCTATGACATTGTGTCAATAAGCATGTGCGTGGTGAGGAAGGTTTTTTTTTTTGTTCAATCTTCTTTTGTAAAGCACTTGAGTTCATAACAACTAGCTCACAAATAAATAACAAACTTGTCCTTCCACGAGGCCAGTCACAAGTAACAGTGGACATGGTGGATGAACAATAGCAAAGGAATGCCTTTGTCACAGATCATTGGAATAGCCTGTGACTCGCCTTGGGAATGGACGACTTGTGATGGACTTGTAGAAACTTGTGAGGACTTGACTACACTGTCACTTGTTTACATGTACCTGTACCTTGTGGGTTAATTGTTGACTCCGATGGGTTCCATGCGCGAACAAGGGAGGACGCTTTTTGACCATTTTTGAGAGCTTATGTTGGGGACACTGCGTGGGTGTGCGTTTGCTTATGGTGTAAATTGAGGACACACGTGCAACATCATCGATGAATTAAGGACAGGAACCAAATGGAGGACGACCTCGATTAGAAAACGTGTACAAAACCAATGAGAGCTGTTGCGAAAAAGTTGAAGTACAAACAAAGGAAAAGGGAAGAGGAACAAAGGAAAATCCTCAATTTACACCATAAACAAACATGGGTGGGTAGGCATAACAAAAGAGGTCCACTTAAACCAGGTAGAGGCGACGTTGTTTGGACTTGGGCAAGTCCACACAGTGTTTCTCCATTTCTGAAAAACAGGTTTAGAGGCTTTTTTGGGTTAGGTTTATCTGTGGCAAAATGAAGAGAAACACTAAAAGGAATCATAGAAAAAAAATTTGGGTTGAAAGAGTTTTCACAGTGTGAGAAAAATGAGTTTTTTTCACAGGTTTTTCTTCTACACGAAAACAAAAGAATGTCCACACTAGGTATGTACAACGTGTCTGTGCACACGTGCATAGGTGCGTGTGTTAAGTGAAGTACGCACAAATAATTGTACATGTACAGGGTGAGTAAAAAACATGAAACCCAAATGTCGGGACCGATTTTTTTAGTGAAGTTCTATATGTTGCACTTTCAAAATCTAAGATATGAAAGCCCAATTCATAAGCTTTCTTTTAGTGCAAGAATCAATCAAATCACTCATGAACTTTTTTAAGTTACGGAATTTTAAACACAACACCGTTTTGAACTTCTGTCTGCGGATCACAAAAAAGTGTTCTTTCAGTAAAACGAAAACAGTTCACATAGGGATGTGTGTGAATTGTTTTCGATTTGCTGAAAAAACACACACTTTTTTTGTGACCCGTGGACAGAACTTTAAAACGGTGGTTGTGTTTAAAACTCCGTAGCTTGGAAAGTACATGAGTGATTTGAATGATTCTTGTACTAAAAGAAAGCTTATGAATTTGGCTTTCATATCCGAGATTTTGAAAGTGCTACCCGTATGCAGAACCTCACTAAAAAAATGGTCCTGACCGTTGGGTTCGTTTTTTGACTCACGCTGTCTTCTGATTGTGCACAAAGCCATAACATGTTCACGTGAGCGTCGGGCATCGTCAACAAGTGTACAAAAGTCTCCCATGTTGGTCTCCCCCAACTCTCCCTTTCTTACCGTTGAGGGGGTATTTGTTCACATAACCCGTAAATTTTTCTATCATATGGCATGTACATGTATAAGATAGGCATTGTGCACATGATTTATTAACCTAGCTCAAGGAAAAGAACAATTTTATCCTTTTAATACCGAACATTCCTCTTCCCCGTGCTAATGGGTTGCTTCCCACAAACCCTCGGCCCTTTGTAGACACAAGGATATGACAGGCTCGCCAGAAGGAAGTGACGGCATTTTCCACGGGCCCAGTCTTCTGTCCCCCTTGCCGCGGTAACTGTCAACAGGGACGGGAGGGTCTAGTAGGTGACTGACTTGTGCCCCAAGGTTGATGACTTGCCCTTTTTTTCCTGCGATAATTCATTCAGCGTTGTCGGCCTGGTTTCAATGTGTCGATCGCCTCCCGAAGGAAGCTGGGCCGACCCACTTTAGTCACTTAGTCGGGTTATTTTTACATTTTGGAGCCGCCGATGACAATGTGAATCACATTGTAAGTCCTCAGTGGGGCCCTTTGCTGGCCTAATTTTTGTTACACTTCAAATTTATGCCTCTCCAAAGTTCATGAACTCAAATATCTTGATTTGGGAAATGTCAGTTTGAGAGTCGGGTAAGTTTTCTAGGTCTGGGAATGCTGTTGAATTTGGCCAGAAGTGTCTCACAGTTTTGTATCGTGTTAAAATTTCACCTGATAACCAAAGTTTTGTTTTGTTTTCCTTCAAATTGGATGTGTTTGTTTTTCTCTACAAATTGGATGAAACATATTTCCTTGAGGAGATTTGTTCCCTAGAAATCATTCATTTATGCATCAACCAGAACAGAAACTGCCCAATTTTTACAAAGAGTTGTCTTGGATTACCTCATTGTTTGATAAATTGCAGTGAATATCCAGATCTGCTGGCCCTTTGCCACATTTTCCCATTGTCAATTTGAACTCATACCTGGAAAGAAGGTGCTCTTATTATTTTTTTTTATTCCCGGCAGCGTTTTGCGAAAGTTGGTCACTTCCCTACCCTGCCCCCTCCCCCTCCCCAAATCATTGGACTATTCGTAATCTCCAAACTTTGTTTTGTTCCCGGCAGCGTTTTGCGAAAGTTGGTCATTTCCCTACCCTGCCTACTACCCCTCCCCTACTCATTGGACTATTCGTAATCTCCGAACCTTCTTTTGGCCGATCAGACAGGGTTCCTCAGAGTCATGAACCCCAGTATGTCCCGAAGACATTGGATACACCTTTTCCTTTTTGAATGTCTCGGTTGCCATGTCTCTTTGAGGCGGTCTCGTGGGGCAAGTTGGCTCATTCTTTAGGCCGAGCAGTTTTCCAAATCACTCAGTCTGTGTCTGTACGGTGTGTTGGTATGTGTTCACCTGCGTCAGTTCAGGTTTGCGAAGGAACGGTCAAATTTCGTCTGATAACACCAACATCGTTTGCGTAAGACACTAACGTATTTTATCTTTTCAGACTCCCGGGAAACTGACAAACCTTTTATTTTCATGCTTTGATCTCAAACTTGTGTTATTAATACCATATTTTTTTAGGGACAAAAAAGTTATTAGCGAAAAATCAAAGACTTCAAACTGTTGTGTCTACTAAAGTTCTTTTGAATAAAATATCTGAAAAATATTTTAAGAAAGTAGCTAGACATTATGTTGATTCTCTGATGTTTTTTAATTAACAAGTTTGTTTATTTTTGTCTTTTGAAGCACAGGGAAAGATTTGCGACGGGCGACCCTCTTCGTCAGAAGTCTACAAAGGTTTTGTGACCGAGTTCCCTGATAGCGGGACCACAGCATTGATCAGGCAGAGGATGGCTTCCTCAACACAGACAAGGAGCGATACCTCACTGGATGTCAATGTGGAAAACATTGAAAAGGTACCTTGTTTTAACCCAACCCATGGTCTATTACATTTGAGCAGATTTGCTGATTAATTATACAAGACAACCTCATCTTGACCTCGAGATTTTTACCAATCAGCGCGCTCACTTTCTACCGGTATATCGGGTCTTCGGTCATTCACCCGTTGCTCGTCATAGACATGGATTAAAAAAAACCTGTGTCACACACTCTGTTTCATGTTACGCGATATGCGCCTGGCAGTTGTTGTATTACAAAACATTGCATTTGAATTGACCAATCAAACCATTAGTCCTGATTTGGAAATGAAATGATGTCACAATTTAGCAAAGTCGACTCCAATTGTCTGGCGCGCAGCTTGCATATATCTGCATGTTTAGACATATCAGACGTTATACACGAGACTTGGCTCCGTGGATAACGGGTGATACTCAGACTAGCCCCTTGAGTTATCTACTAAGAACCTTCCTCACTCTTGCGAATTCCAGCACCATATGGTAAACTCAACACCCAAACTGTTGGACTCTGATTATGGTGGTATGCCTGACCCCATGTAAAGCATAATCAGTTGACTAGTGCAGTACTCACTTCAACAGATTCCAACAAACCCTGTTGTTGGAGTTTGACTGGATGGGGATTGTACATGTACAAGTACAACCACACATGTGCCTCAAACCAGGCTTGATGGATAATGAATCGACATGAATCAACGTTGCAGTACGACAAATGTATGATAAGTCAAAACCAAAATGAAGGCTTCCTTTCAGACAGCACAAAAGCGTATTCCAACATTCTGAATAATTTCTTGCTAAAAACCTGGAAAAAATTCATGCACAAAACTATGTCAAAAGGAAGTGAGACAAACACAAACTTACAGAACTTCTTTGTGAAAGTCCATGTAATGTTAAAGGGGCATAATAACTCCCTGAAGTTCCCAAAAATGTGTTGGATTGTTTGGTTACCGGTACATGTATCCTATCTAAAAGCTCTGGTTCAAAGGAAACTAACCTACTGTCTTACCGTTCCCGAGAATAGCAAAAAAAACACCGGTTGTTTACATCGAACGTGGCGGACATTTTGTGGCATACACATACGTATTTCAAGCCCTGTCCATTCAATGTACGATACATGTTGTGTGTGTGTGTGTGTGTCACATGATACCCACGGCACCAATACACACATTTTGTTTCTTGCATGTCCGCAGAATGCTATGTACTGTGCGGCAGGATTCACAATTAGCACTCAACGGCTCGATTTTGAGAGTCAAAATTACGATTTATCGAAATTGCAGCTGAGAAGTTAACAATAAATTGATTGGAAAAAAAAATGAATACACGGATGTAATTGTACATGTATACTTGTGAACCTATACATGTATGTACATGTACATGTAGCTCGAAAATATATATATTCCACGGTATCGTGTTGAATAATGCATGTAACCCCAGACCTTTGACCCACTCCTAGGCTATCCATCAGCTGTACTATGACCCCCACCCCGGGGTGAAGAACTCGGCCCAGCGCTGGCTGCTAGTGGCCCAGAGATCCCAGCATGCCTGGCAGTTCTCATGGACCTTACTCAGCCCGGACAAGGTGAGACACGTCCATTATGCAATTATTGTCTGCTGTGATGTACCGGTAGTCCATGGCATTTTGTATATACACAGTTTTGGGGGTCTCGTAACTGGATTCTGTTGCCTGCGCTCATTTACCATTTCAGGTGGAATAATTTCACGGGGTAATTAATACCATCTCTATCTTCACTTTGAGAATTATTGTTCCCATTAAATATGTAGGTTTGTTTCTAGATAATTAGCATTGTTCCTACGTGCCTGTGGGTTCTTCGGGTGTAACAAGTCACTTCTGTTTTAATTTTGTTTTCTTCAGACGGCATATTACATGTAACTTGCATTTTAGTTTGGTTTGCTTCCGTGTTTTAGTACAAGACTGTAGCACTTTACATGCTTTAAGGAACTTATAATTTCGATTTTAATTATTTTTATTGCCTATGTTTTATAGTTCTTATTGTGAGGTGCTTTGGGGTATTTTACATAAAGCGCCCTATAAATGCCTTTATTATTATTATTATCGCTATTTGCTTAGGCACCGCAGAACCAAGAATGGCGAATTTAACTAAAAAGAATTAAAACTGGTCAAAATTTAAAAATATGAAAATACATTGTATGTATTTTTTTCAGGCAACTGAAGTGCAGTATTTTGGAGCGAGCGCTCTTCACACAAAGATTTCAAGATACTGGTATGATTCACATAAGTATATTCCAATAAATGCAAACAGAGAATGGCGACTTCTATATAATGGCCATATTTAGTCTTGTTGCTGGCCGCATTACATCAATTTGGCTGCAAGCAATGCTGATAGTTTTCCTACCTGCTTATTGTGGCCACTTGGGGAAAGAAAACAGCCTGCCAATCATTGGCCTATCAAAGCCTACACATGTCACTCATGTTAAACCTGTCCACTGTGGCCACCTATTCATGTCAACCCCTCATGAGTGCACGGCCCGCACATGTTTAACAGGAAGCATGTAGGCCTAATGTTTCATATTTTTCCCTCATAAATTACCCCCTTTTTCCTCCAATTCTCCCCCCCCCCCCGAATCAACCCTAAATCTGAACACGTTGAGAATATGTCATTTCCGGATCATTTTTATCTCAACTCGGCACAGTAACCCAAATGTCAAATGAGGATTTTCCTGTGGCATTTCTGCCTCTGAAATGTCACAGGAAATCGCAATGTTAATGCCGCGGGTTTCGGGATTACATGTAGTACTCAAGTTACAAGCTCTGAGATCGACTGTCGTTTTTGTTTGACGGCGCAGGGCGGAGGTGCACCCGGAGCAGTACGACATTCTACGCACGCAGTTGTTCAGGCAGATCTTTGCTTTCGGCACGGGCGCCCGGATAGTCTTGACCCGTTTGTGCGTGGCGGTAAGTGCTCAGTATCCCTCCAGGAAATTTGACTTATTTAGGATTTTTTTTACAGACATCACAAATGCTAGGGAGTTCAAACAAACTCTCTACCTGTGTCTCCTATATATAGTGTACAAGTGATTCTACAAAATCTGCTTGTTTAAAATTTGTCATCGAATGTCAAGTTACTGCAGATATTCATTGTATGGAAAGAGATATTCATTATTTAGGTGATTTTTTCCCACGGCGGGTGTGAAATACGCCGTGGGCTTGATGAGACAGTTTGCTCAGCCATAAATTGTATTCATGCAACTCAAGTATTACAGCTTCGCATTCGAAGACTGGTTTTCAAAACACTGATGTGCGCGTGTCTAATTTGCATATTTTTGCATTTTTGATCACACCCCATTCGGGTGCACGGACGGTGCCGTATTAAGGCCGTCTTCACATGTTACCCGGCCGTCAAGGGTTGAACCCAGAGCTGCCGACTCTCCCTGATTCTGCAGAAAGTTCCCTGAAAATATACCAATCTTTCCATGTTCTGATAAACAAATTTGAAAATCTCCGTGATTGTGGAAACTTTTGCCCTATTATGTTGAATATAAGGCCAAAAAAAAAAAATATTCGGTCTCCGGTCAGACCAAAGTTCCGGAATTGACGCGGCCACGCGGCTTTTTTTTTTTTTTTTTTTTTTTTTCTTCAAGCTTGGATTGTACAGACAAGGTGGGTACTATTTTGCTTTTTTGGTGTCCTCATGTACATGGGTGTCCTCCATAATTTGCCTTGGTGCTTTTGATCATTTGCCTTGGTGCAATTTGCCATTCCTTGGTGCTCTTTGGTACAAAAATTGAGGAGGTGCGGAAATAGAGGGCGCTGTTGGAGCTACCGCAGAACATTTTTGAGAAAAAAAAAGATCGACGCGCATGATTAAAATCGACGCGCGCGCTGACCAGAGACCGACTTATTTTTTTTTTGGCCTAATTCTAAACATGTCCCTGATTGTTGTACAAAATCTCCCTGATTGCAAGATGCAGATGTTGGCAGCTCTGTTGTACCACTTGTACTTTTTTTATTCAGGAATTGTTATTTTCAAGTTGACCAAACAAAGAATCACATCCATGAATAAACGAGGAAAGTCACAAATAGCCTGGATTAAGTAAGAAACAACCAATTTGAAGTGTATTGGAAGTGGATTCGAACCCAGGGTCATAGCATTTGAAGGCCTGGGTAGTACCAATGTACCAAATTTAATGACGTTTGTGTGAGTTCCAGTCTTTTTTTTGTAGTTGACAACTGAATAATTTGCGTTGTTTTTTCAGTTGTCATCCTTTGCTCTGAACACAATGCCAGAGGTGTGGCCAGATGCTGTCAAAGGAATCATAGATACCTTCCAACAGACAGACATACCACAGCTAGATGTAAGTGTCATCGTCATAGTCATCTATGTTGCCACATTGAGTATAGGCCCTATTGGTTTTTGTCATCTTTATCATAGTCGTTGAATTGCCATAGTCATCCATGTAGTCACAATGAATTGTTTTGGTCATCTTTTTTATTGTCATAATGAGAAAGTTGATGTTTTGGTCATCTTTTCATTGTCATAGTCATCCATGTTACAATAAGTGTATTGGTTTTTGTCATATTTGTCATTGTCATAGTCATCCGTGTTGTCACATTGAGTGAATTGATTTTTTTGTCATCTTTGTCATTGTCATAGTCATCCATGTTGTCACATTCAGTAATTTTTTTTTTTTTTTTTATCTTTGTCATTGTAATAGTTATCCATGCTGTCACAATGATTACATTACTTTTTTGTCAGCTTTATCATAGTCATTGTCAAAGTCGTCAATGTTGTCATTATGAATATTTTTGTCAACTTGGTCATTGTCATAGTCATCCATGTTGTCACAATGAGTAGGTTGTTGATTTTGTCATCTTTGTCTTTCCCATCCTCCCTGCGCCTTTAGCATTTCTGTCACCACTACTATGCCCCTCTCTGTTGCCATTTAATTTTTGTCGTTGTCATACATGTAATGTGTGATGTAATGTCATCTCCATTGCCATCATCAGTTTTGTCACACAATCATTGACACATTGTCCACTCCTGAGCATCAGCGTCAAAATGTACTTCCACAATCACATCACTGTTGTCATTACCTTTATTATCATAAATGTCAACGTCGGGATCGCTGTCATTATCATAATTTCATTTATTTACTTTGTCATGCATTTGTGTAAATTTGTTATAATCATGATGAATATTGTCTGCATCTACAAAGCATCATTTGGATTCTTACAGAAATTAACCCTCACCTTCCTAACTCCTCCAAAATCCTCTTTGCAAAATGGAGGATTGTGCAGGATTTAGGCTACTAGGCAAAAATTTGTGGCTGATTTTGGAGGATGCACTGTGTCAAGGTCTTTGGCCGGACCTTTTGTTGTTTTGCTCAACCGTGCATAATAGGCCTTGGTTATACTTGAAATCCTCCGCACTGCTCCAGGATGTCACTGGCTCTGCCACATTCAAGAAATAATGGCTCAGTTTGCAGGATTGAGGCTGTATGCAATTGTTACATGGAGGCAATTGGAGGATTTTGAAGGATTTAGGTTATATCCTTGCAAAAATGCCCAGGGAGTTTGGGTTAATGTAATTAAGGGCCATCATTATTTAGTATAATTCTTGAACATTTGGTGGATTATCGATTATAGTTCCCATTTCTCAGCGAGTGCCCTGGTTTTTTTTAAATTGTTTCCAATTTTTCTTTTATCACAGGCAACTCACAGATGTACAGCTCTGTTGGAGCTCCTGACAGTCCTACCAGAGGAGGTAATCAGCAAAATTACTTTATCCAATCACAGCACTCTAAATTTCAATCCTATAATAGTCATATCCAATTCAGCCAATCACAGCTGCTCAAAATGTGGTCATTTCGTTTCATGATTCTCACTCAGCCAATCACAGTGCAGCAAAAAGTGGTCTTGCACGTTAGCTGAATCAAATTTAGCCAATCACAGCGCAGTAAACGGAGCTTATACATAAGCTGAATCAAATTCAGCCAATCGCAGGCCTGCACAGTGATGTCGTTCCTTAGTAGAAAGTTATACATTCAATCAGTGAACTTTAGTCATGTTCTGCACCAACTGCATCAAGGAAACAAAACATGGCATTTCAGTGTTATGCACGATATATTTCAAATTCAGCCAATCACAATACAGAGAGATTCAATTGCAAATTCCTGCATTTACTGTTGTTGGACTTGAGCCTTTGGTTGGAACAGAATCACCATAAAACGACTAGAAATAGACGCTTACTGGCTTACATGTGCTTTCTAGAAATTGTAAGATTTTTCTGGAAAAAAACCTCAAAATAACTGAACAATTTAATATGAGACCTATTAATAACACTAAGCATATTATTTTCTTGTTTTCAAGTTCCACACATCCCCGCTTCCCCAGGCCAGGCGAGGAACCGTCCGACATGAATTAGAAAACGGCCTTCAACATGGTAAGGTTTATAACAAAAAACATTACATTGTTTTTATGCCCCGCGGCGAAGCCGAAGGGGCATACTGTTTCCGCCTTGTCCTTCCGTGGGTGGGTGGGTGGGTGGGTGGGTGGGTGGGTGTGTGGGTGTGTGTGTGTGTGGGTGGGTGTGTGGGTGTGTGTGTCCGGACAAATCTTGTCAGCGCGATAACTTGAGAAATACTTAACATATGAACTTCAAATTTGGTTTGTGGATTGTTCTTGGTAATCCTAAGAAGCCTTTCGCATTTGGGGCCAAAAGGCCAAAGGTCAAGTTCACAGTGGCTAAAACAATAGAAATCTTGTCAGCGCGATAACTTGAGAAATATTTTACATGTGAACTTCAAATTTGGTTTGTGGATTGTTTTTGGCAATCCTAAGAAGCCTTTCGCATTTGGGGCCAAAAGGCCAAAGGTCAAGTTCACAGCGGCTAAAACAATAGAAATCTTGTCAGCGCAATAACTTGAGAAATACTTTACATGTGAACTTCAAATTTGGTTTGTGGATTGTTTTTGGCAATCCTAAGAAGCCTTTTGCATTTGGGGCCAAAAGGCCAAAGGTCAAGTTCACAGTGGCTAAAACAATAGAAATCTTGTCAGCGCAATAACTTGAGAAATACTTTACATGTGAACTTCAAATTTGGTTTGTGGATTGTTCTTGGCAATCCTAAGAAGCCTATTGCATTTGGGGTCGAAAGGTCAAGTGTCAAGTTCACAGTGGCTAAAACAATAGAAATCTTGTCAGCGCGATAACTTGAGAAATACTTAACATATGAACTTCAAATTTGGTTTGTGGATTGTTCTTGGCAATCCTAAGAAGCCTATTGAATTTGGGGCAAAAAGGTCAAGGGTCAAGTTCACAGTGGCTAAAACAATAGAAATCTTGTATTTATTCTGAGATTATAGGGATTAGGGATTAATTCATATAAAACCTACAGAAGACACTAATGCTGTCAATGAATGTTCCATGTGACCAAGGTACATGTAAGTTGATGTTAAAAGAGTGGTGTTATGTCATGGGAACAGTCACGGTTGCGGGGCATTTGTGTTTGTAAACACACCTGACTTGTTTACATTTAGTATTACTCATAACAGTTCCTACATGCATACCATGAGAAAACTTGTCAGACTGCATGAATAACAAGCAAGGAAAATGAAAGTAAAAGTAGTGCTCAGTTGTTATTTGCCGTATTTTCGGAATAGTGTCTTTTAGGGCATAGGTCGCAATGAGGAAACAATGAAGAGATAACCCCCAGTAGCTACTCTGCTAAATGCAACGAAATCTAGCACAGCTGGAAAGGGAACCCTGCTAAATGCAACAAAATGCAACATTTAATTCTGTTGTACCAGCTGTGGCACTATGAGCAGTTACCCTGCTGATTGCAACAGACTTCTGTTGTACCAGATGTGGCACTTTGAGCAGTTACCCTGCTGATTGCAACAGACTTCTGTTGTACCAGATGTGGAACTATGAGCAGTTACCCTGCTGATTGCAACAGATTTCTGTTGTACCAGCTGTGGCACTTTGAGCAGTTACCCTGCTGATTGCAACAGATTTTTGTTGTACCAGTCTTGGCACTATGAGCGGTTACCCTGCTCAATGCAACAGATTGCAACAGTGGATTCTGTTGTGCCAACTTTGGCACTATGAGCAATTACCCTGCTAATTGCAACAGACTTACATTGTACAAGTCTTGGCACTATGAGCAGTTACCCTGCTAAATGCTACAAAGTGCAACAGTGGACTCTGTTGTACCAGCCTTAGCACTATGAGCAGTTACCCTGCTAAATACAATGTATAACAGACTACAAGAGTGGATGCTGTTGTACCAGCTGTGGCACTATGAGTAGTTACCCTGCTAAATGCAACAAAGTGCAACAGTGGATTGTGTTGTACCATCCTTGGCACTATGAGCAGTTACCCTGCTGAATACAACAGACTGCAACAGTGGATTCTATTGTATCAGCCTTGGCACTATGAGCAGTTATCCTGCTAAATACAATGTATAACAGACTACAAGAGTGGATGCTGTTGTACCAGCTGTGGCACTATGAGTAGTTACCCTGCTAAATGCAACAAAGTGCAACAGTGGATTGTGTTGTACCATCCTTGGCACTATGAGCAGTTACCCTGCTAAATACAATGTATAACAGACTACAAGAGTGGATGCTGTTGTACCAGCTGTGGCACTATGAGTAGTTAGCCTGCTAAATGCAACAAAGTGCAACAGTGGATTGTGTTGTACCATCCTTGGCACTATGAGCAGTTACCCTGCTGAATACAACAGACTGCAACAGTGGATTCTATTGTATCAGCCTTGGTAATATGAGCGGTTACCATGCTAACTGCAACAAAGTGCAACAGTGGATTCTGTTGTACCAGCCTTGGCACTACGAGCAGTTTACCTTGCTATTCGAAGTGCAACAAAGCATGGGCAACTTGCATCAAGTTGCAACTTGAGTTGAATGCATCAGTATTCAACAACGTTTTACTTTTCTGTTGCCTTTAGCATGGTTAGAGTTAAAATAAACACAAACCTCCGGTTTTAAAAACTGTCTTCTTTTCCCTCCCCCTTCCCAGTCTTGCCTCTGATTAAGACCCTCTTGGAGCAGCAAGATTCCCCTGATGCGGTCCGTCTCCAGGCCCTCAAGTGTTTCTCCAGCTGGGTGCAGTTGAACGTGCCCCTGCCGGACATCGACCCTATCACCGAGATGCTCTTTCAGCTGCTGCTCAACCATGACCTCTTTGATCTGTGCATTGACTCATTGATCAGTGTGGTCTGCCAGCCTGTCGCGTACAAGTGAGTCTTTACAATCTTTGACTGGATCCAAATTGATGTGCCAATAAAGATGTATTCCCCATGCTATTTACAGGTTAATGGCAGCAGCACATGTTAGAAGGTGACGTCACATGAGAACGTTCTCCCCCCCCCCCCCAAAAAATAGTTTTGAGAAGGTGCATTTACATGTGTATACACTGTTACGTTATACAGTGTGCTTGATTGTACGATTTTATCAGCACTCCCCATTGAAAATATGGTGAGAGCCCCCCCCCTCCCCTATTGATTTTCAGAGGTCTAAGTGTCGGCTAGCCCCCTAAAATATAGGCTCTAGAACCGCACCTGTGGGAGCCAATCTGCTCGCAAAGTGGATCTGTTTGTTACAAGCCCATAACAAATTGGTTTTTTTTTTAATTGTGTCTTAATCTGCAAGATGTGAATTCCCAGTATTGCAAGGTCAGTATTTGAGCAACATTGATCATGACGTAAATCATGTTAGATCATGCTATTCATTTTATATAAAAACTAGACATGTGACAGCTCTAGGCCAATAAAATTACTGTATCAAAGACAAAAATATAACAGTTTTCTTTGTTTTTATAAACCTTTGTTACAGGTATCCACTTTCAGTCCGGAAAGTCATCAAACAAGTCTTACAACTGCAGGACCACTTGTCAACCGCTGTGCAAGACAAGGACATGGTAAGCGGCTAATCACCAATCAACATTGGAATGACACATGATGAAAGCTGGGCCAATTTCACGGCGCTGCTAAGCACAACAATTTGCTTAGCACAAAAAAAGTCTGGCTTATAAAAGCAGGTTACCAGCCAAAACTCCAAGTGATGTATATTACTTGTGGTTAGTATTCAACTGTTGTTTGCTTAGCACTAAAATCACATGGAGTTTTGGCTGATAACCTGCTTTTATAAGCCAGACTTTTTTTGTGCTAAGCAAATGTTTGTGCTTAGCAGTGCCGTGAAATTGGGCCCTGGTATATGTGGCCGTGACCTGCCATATCGTAATGAGGAATAACCCCCACCTTTGACTTTGACTTGGACCTGTGTTTGCCTACCGCTAAAGATCTTCAAAATGGTCTTCTTATTTAAAGAAACAAACCGAAGAATGATTATGCGCTTCGTGTTTATATCATATAGACTTAAAGGGTCCTGAAATGATTGTTTCTTAGGAACATGTTTTGTGCGACTTTCCACTACTCTTAAATGTATAAAAACTATTTCACATCCATTTGGGGCAAATCTCTTCTTCACTTTAGCAGCTCCATGGAATTGGACCCTTGTTCCCAATAGAGGGGGCAAGTCTTGCCAGTCCACGTTCTTTTTTTCTGTGAACATCTTGGAAGCAAACACTGACTAGTCTAGTCACAGACCCCCGTGTTTGTATTTACCCAATTGTTATCTGCGTGATCGATTGAACTGAAGTTAAGGTCAACATTTTTTATTTTATAATAATCATCAATTCGCAATATTTTCAATATGTTGTAACTTGTTATGCTTCTTTTCTTTCGAAATACCCATTTATTGCCCTTGATCAGATGGGCCCAGTCAGGACACAAAATAAATGCCAAAAATAGGACCTTACATGTGAAATCACTCGTATAATCTCCAAGGGCTTACCATTAACGAAAAATTCCCGCTTACTGTTCCAGAAAAGTATGTGTTTACCTTTAAAACTATTTCACAGGTAAGTGAGGAATATTGGCAAACATACATCCTGCAACTAAGGATTCTGTGTTCATAGGGTTTGCCCAGAATTTCTTTGCTAGCGCTGTTAGCAGAGCCATCGAATTAGGCCCCTGGTCTTCACTTGGACCAATTTTGAGAAGCGGTTCTTCTTTCTTTGGTCATTGTTCAGGATGTAGTCCAAGGCATCTGTCGGCTAGCGGTCTCCCTCGGGGAGAACAACTCCAAGATCCTTCTGGAGTCGGAAGGGGAGGACAGGCAGCACGCTGTGGAGTTCACCAACCTCATCATTGTGAGTCCCAATGCTTTTGAACTTTGAACTTTGAACTTTGACCCCAGTTTACTCTTGCATTTGCTTATGGACTCAGCAGATGGTGCTATGTAGCCTATTCATTAGAGCAAGTGTTTGACAGATACATGGGGCAAGTTCGATCAGGGACCAATGGTTAACTAGTGGTTGCTTCATTACGTACTAGCGCATGCGCACTGAAGTTGAAGTGCGAACGACTCTAGTCGAACTATTGTCATCTCAACGACTGTGAGAAAGTGGTGGTCGCATAATTTTTCCACTCTTGATGTTTCTGTTTATTTGCACAGATAATAGTGATTGTGTAGTTTATGACACCTTTATATAATCGCCAGTATTATTGTACAAATGGTGACAAAAGTGACAGAATCGTAAACAAACATGGAAAAAGTATGCAGTGAGAATGAAAATTGGCACTCACAGTTTTCGTTTTTCCGCCATTTTTGTTGATAGTTGGTGCCCTCTGCACTATGCTATGAAAACTTGCTATTGAAAATGGCTATAGCGACCAGCCGCGGTAGGCTGGTCCTGAATAGTCGACTAGACTAGTCCAACAATCGTCGACTAGCATTCGTTCGATCAGAGTTAGTCGAACTATGGTTAACTATGATCCTTGATTTGGTTGTGTTCACTTCAGGGTTTCACAGCTCTACCCGGTCATTACCCTGTGGACGAGACGATAAGTAATATACCGTTTGGCTTCTGGTACATTCTGCAGGTATGTTTGACCTTTGACATACAGCAGCCATCTTGGTTATTGATTAAACTTGTGATCAGTAGAACTTCATTATAACGAAGGCAGTGGGGTCCACAACAGAACATTCAGAAGGGCGGTGTTTGTTAGAAAGATTTTTCAGCTATCAATGTTTGATATACTTTACTTAAAATTTAGGATCCAAAGTGGATGCCCATTGTGGCCAAATGCTTCGGTAATAGCGGTGTTAGTTTAGAAGCACTCTACTGAAGTTTCCTGCCTTCCTGCTAGACTCGTGTTTAATACCTGCTCAGTTTAGCTCATGAATTACATTGTTATCTTTAATATTGTGGGCTTTCATTATGTCTTTTTTTCCCTCTATGGAAAAAATAGAATCTTAAAGAAATTAATGTTACACTTGAACCAACAGTGTAAATCAGCATATGTCATATCTGAGTATAAATAAAGTTTGCTTCCTGTCCCCACTGTCGTCTCGGCGTTTATGAAACCATCTGCCTCATGTCACTCACCAGGATAACATAGTTTCATCATACCAATGGGACTTTCATGAGATTTAAAGTTTACTTGCATGTTGAGCATTTCCTGTCCCTCCAGTCCCCACCGTATATCTCGGCGTTTATCACACCATCTGTCCCGTGTCACTCACCAGGATAACATAGTTTCATCACACCAAGGGGAATTTCATGAGATTTAAAGTTTACTTGCATGTTATGTATTTCCTGTCTCTCCTGCCCCCACCGTCTGTCTCAGCTTATGTGACCCCATCTGTCTCACGTCACTCACCAGGATGACATAGTTTTGTTGCACCACAAAGAACGCAGTGGGGTCCACAAAAGGTCATTCGTATAGCTGTGTTCATTATAACGTCTGTCTCAGCATTTATGAAACCATGTGTCCCTTGTCACTCACCAGGATAACATAGTTTCATCAAATATTTTTGTACACTGTACCAACGGGAATTTCATCAGATTTAAAGTTTACTTGCAGGTTGTAAATTTTCTGTCCCTCCAGTCCCCACCGTCTGTCTTAGTTTAAGACACTATCTGTCTCACGTCATTCACCAGGATGACATAGTTTCATCAGATTTAAAGTTTACTTGCATGAGATTTAAAGTTAACTGGCCTGTTGTAAATTTCCTGTCCCTTCGGCCCCCACCGTCTGTCTCAGCGTTTATCACACTATCTATCTCACATCATTCACCAGGATAACATAGATGTAGTTTCATCAGACCAAGGGGAATTTCATGAGATATAAAGTTTACTGGCATGTTTTGCATTTCCTGTCCCTCCAGTCCCCACTGTATATCTCGGTGTTTATCACACCATCTGTCTCACGTCACTCAGCAGGATGACATAGTTTCATCATACCAACAGGAATTTCATGAGATTTAAAGTTTACTTGCATGTTGAGCATTTCCTGTCCCTCCTGCCCCCCCCCCCCCACCCCGCCGTCTGTCTCGGCGTTTATGACACTATCTGTCTCATGTTACTCACCAGGATGACATAGTTTTGTTGTACCACGAGGACTTTCAGGAGTTTTTTTTGCAGTTTACTTGCATGTTGTACATTTCCTGACCCTCCTGCCCCCACCCTCTGTCTCGGCGTTTATGACACTATCTGTCTCATGTCACTCACCAGGATGACATAGTTTCGTCGGACCAAGAGGAGTTTCAGGAGTACGTGCGCGTCTTCGCTCCGGTCTACATGCACCTAGTCGAAGTCATGCTGACAAAAGTGCAGTATCCACCCGACGAGGAGTACAGCAGCTGGAATGCAGGTCAGGTCAAGGGGTCAAAAGGTCAAAGTTCAATGGTCCAGAGCTATTAAACATTGACTGTGGGGATTGCAAAAACCATGGTTTTGTCTGGGCTTCGTCTTTGGGACTGTAAGTGCCTGACTTGGGGACTCTGACTCGACATGGTTCCATGTTCTGCTGCAGGAACTCAAATCCTATAATGAGAGGCCTTAGTTATGAATATTTCAATTTGTATAGACAAAAGTGTCCTAACATATTCTGAAGCCAACATTTCAAAAACATCTTTCTTGTTTTCTACGCTACTGGACTTCCAGTACAGTAATGTTTATAAATTTATATATATGTGTATGTTTTATGTGTACAGAAGAAAAAGAGCATTTCCGATGTTACAGACAGGACATAGGAGACACACTGGTGAGTATTGAGTAAATGTTGAATTCAACTTTTAATTTTGATTACCTCAGAGTTTATTATGTATGCATGGCACAGCTGTTGTCAATTGTTTACTTTTTCATGTTTGTTTTTTCAAGAGAAGGTCAATTTAGTTTTTGGAGGTTTTTTTTTAAAAACTTGGTTCAATTATGAGTTTTGAATAGTGCTATATTCATGAACTGTGTCCAACGATTGGTTTCTGCTTAAACCCAAACACTCCATCACAAGTCCTTTCACAAGTCCTTTCGTAAGTCCAGTCACAAGTAGAGCCCGGCGCACACCTTCGCGATTTCACCGTTGCGGTTAGACCGTTATGTTACCCGCACGCATGCCAGATCCGCCCTGTAATCGGTCACATGATGATCGGACACATGATAACCAGTTACATGATGACAACCATGTGACTTCCTTCGTTTATAATCTGAATGGTTGACATTAAGTTTTGTGTCCGGCGAAATCGGATCGTGTGAAATCAGATGCGACTCAATCAAACACCTGGTCGCCCAGTATACAGTATACCGCTATTCATTCGGATAGCTAGTGACTGGACTTGTGACGGAAGGACTTGTGATGGACTTGTGATGGACTTGTGATGGACTTGTGTTGGACTTGTGATGGACTTGCGATGGACATGTGATGGACTTGTGATGGACTTGTGATGGACTTGTGATGGACTTGTGATGGACTTGTGATGGACTTGTGATGGACTTGTGATGGACTTGTGATGGACTTGTGTTGGACATGTGTTGGACTTGTGATGGACTTGTGATGGACATGTGATGGACTTGTGATGGACTTGTGATGGACTTGTGGTGGACTTGTAATGGACTTGCAGGGACTTGTAGGGACTTGTGATGGACTCGACTACATCACTGCCCTGTACTGCCCCAAACTGCCCCAGCACTGTATGGCATTATGGATTCCTCAGGGAATAATAACTACAGGTTGAGTAGAATGATATGTGTCTTTCTCTCTCTCCAGATGTACTGCTACACTCTCCTGAGGGAGCCCCTTTTAAATCATCTCTATGCAATACTGAGCAGAATACAAGAACAACAACTGCCATGGCAGGTAAAACAAAAATGAGATTCTTTATTTTGAATATCCAATGTGTATTTTTAAAGTCACCATATATGACTGTGGCATGGTCTTTTTGGCCGTGCACAGCGAGATAGCAAAAATACAGATTGCCAGGTGACTCGTTCTCGGCCAATCAAGATACAGAATCTGTGGATGAGGTGACATATCTTATGCTAAAGAGCGAACCAGTATGTCACGAACAGGGTTCCTTATGGGGTAGAAAACACAATAGAACAATAGACCCCATGAGGAAGTCTTTAGAAATTGAACTGCCCTGTAAGGGAACCAAAATAGAGTTTGAGATTTCAATAGGAACAAAGGAAGGGAAAAAAAGGTCTTTTCGTGTATAAGGCTGTGAGTGCCGCAGGGTGTTGCTTCTGGATCTCTCAAACGTGGTAAAAAAGTGCCCTCTAGTGTGCATGCACAGAATCTGTAGATTTTCATTCGTTGTTCGCAACCACTGCCATGATATTTGGACCTTGTCTTCTCATCACAGCAAGTGGAGGCGTGTCTGTTTGCGTTCCGCTCCATCGCGGAGGGAGGCGACTACGGTGATGACCAGTGCGTGTCGGACCTACTCAGACTACTATCTCAAGTCAACATGTCTCATACCACGCTGGCATCCACTGCCTTATACATGCTAGGTGAGTGATTGTCACTTGTGCTGCTCTAGGCCGAATATCCATGAGTCTGTTTTCGATGTGTGTATTGCATTTACTGGTTGTGTATCTGTGATACCTACTCCGAAAATCTGCATTTCTTTGAAACTTGACTGAAGTAGAACTCAAATACATAGCATGCAGCAGTTTGCTAGTTGAAAAATAAGGTCTTATTGAAATGAGGTTTAGTTTTTGCAAAGTAAACATTTTACGGAATAAAAATAAGTAAGATTTAACATCTCAATAAAGGACAACAGACAAATCCTAATCTGAATTATGGCCGAATGGAAGGAAAGGACACTACAGAACATTGTCAACTATTGTTGCAAGGAGGATTTAATGAAACTCTGCTTCTTGGCCGCTCTTCTGCTGCTTTCACATCATGTTACAAATATCGCGCTAAAAACACAAAGATTTTGTTTCTATGGGTTGATTGTGGGATCAATGTCTCATGGTCACTACTTATTTACACACATTTGCATTGAGTTCGGCTCAAGACTAGAGCGACGTCTGAAACCAAGTCACTCCTGAGTCGTTCTGGGTCAATCTTTCACCATCTACGTCATCAAGTGGCTCCTAATTGTTTCAGACGTCAGACTTTGCGTGTATTTAATTCAAATCTTGACTATACTAACATATGTATATTGGATAGAGATTTGGATTTTTTCAGATCAAATAAGCCGATCAAGTTTCATTTGATTCATATATTACAGTGTTACACAGGGTTTATACTGTGTACTCCTAATAATTTTTGGACTAACTTCCTTTCAGGTGCCTATTCTGAGTGGCTAGCTGATACACCCGAGGCCTTAAGAACTGTAATACCAGTCCTTCTAACCGGTAAATAGTCTTGCTGTATTTTCTTTTTTTTCTCACTATTAATTTGGTACATTATACATGTATGTATCAAATTGGTGAACTTGCCAACCCTTGTACAGAGTGTGCCAAAAAAGTGCAACCTTCAGAAAGCAAATAATTCAAACTGTTTGATTATTTTTTTCTTCAATGAAATTATATATTACATTAAAGCCTGACTATTTCTCAATCCACTCCTTTTTACCCCATTCCATCTGGGTACCTAGATCCAGAAATACAATCAATTAAGTGAAATGGTGTAAACTTTACGTTGGCCACTCACGCCTGCGATGTCACCAACTTCAACAAGTCCAGGTGAGAGTGGCCCAAGTACAATTATCACCCTTTCACTTCATTGATTGCATTTCTGGATCTAGGGACCCAAATGGAATGGGGTATTAAGGAGTGGATTGAGAAAGTCAGGTTTTAATGTAATTTAATAAATACCTTGGAGAGTTGATGGTTTCTGATTGGTCGAGACTCGATCACGTGGCCGGGCATTAACGGTGATAATGGACCGGCTTCAAAGATCAAGCGAATAAATGGCCCCTGAACCAGCATTGATCCAGCCCCGTTCAGCCCCATGCAAGCCAATGATTGGTCAAAATATAGTAACAGTCCTGCGGTAGCTTGTAACAATAAAGCTCTGCACATGCGCTCAACCCCCATCGCGTGAGACTGACGCGCGCGTACGCAACACAGTTGCTAGGGATGCGTGCGTGCAGCTAGCAGTGCAGTATATACTGAAGATGTTTTCGACGAAAGCGTAGATCTACGATTTATTTTCTTTGAACACTTCACCAACCGACATATTTACCTTTCCTAAACCAAGCATCTTTGTAATTCCGGACACAAGGAATGTGTAAACGAGATTTCAGCTTCCTCCATCAGGTAAAGATATGAAAACATTGTTGTAATTTGTTTCGCTACGGCAGGAGTTTCTGTTGAGTTAACGTCGTTATAGCTGTTAAGCTAAAATATGGCCCATGAACATGAACACAAAAAAGTCTGGAAATATCGCCGAAAGAAAGTCACAAAATTGGAGCATTTTAACTGTTTATTTCGTTAAAAAGGTATTTATTAATGGGAATAACAGTGTGAGGATCCGGTCTTCACTGCGTGATAATGACTGGGTGTGGGGGTGACCGCTGTTAATGGACCTCGACTTCATCTCGGTCCATTAACAGCGGTCACCCCCACACCCGGTCATTATCACGCAGTGAAGACCGGCTCCTCACACTGTTATTCCCTTAATATAATTTCATTGAAGAAAAACACAAATCAAACAGTTTGAATTATTTGTTTTCTGAAGGTTGCACTTTTTTGGGCACACTTTGTATATGCAGTAGGGCAAGGAGATTAACGGATGGTGGTATAGTTTTTTTTTTGGTTTTTTTGTGTGTGTGTGCAATGACTCTCTGTGTGACACAGTTGACTTCATAACACTTCGCATCCCTTCACCTGAAACTGACCAGCAACGTTCTGAAGGGTTTTACAGATTGCTCTTAATATTGACTTTCCACTAGATGGGTTGATTAGGAGTGTTTGTGTTTGGTTTTTTGTTTCGGGTGCTTGTCTAGGTTTGAATGACCCTGAACTAGCAGCACCTGCCACCATGTCCCTTAAAGACATCTGCTTTGAGTGCCGGAAAGAGATGAAGCCATACGCTGAGACAATCCTGAACGCTAGCCAGGAAGTACTCAGGAGAAACACTATCAAGGTCAGCTCAACCTGTTGCCTTTGACCTTTCCCTTTGACATTTTGACCTTTGACATTTTGACTTTTTACAAATGTGATGCGATCAGGCTTAATGAGTCGTTTGTCTGGAAATTTCATTTAGAGATTCAGGCCAAAATAGGACTACTTCATCACATCACTTCATCACATCTCTCGGTGTTCTGACTTCCATGATTTTTGAACTAAAGATGGTATCAGTACGCGGTTTTCACAGCAGTAATGCTGAAATTGTGCTTTTGTTTGACAAACGACTCATTTAGCTTGATCACATCACAAATACTGTTACGTGAAGATGTCTTTCTTTACAAATCTATTGATTTTGGAGTGGTAATATGGCAGACAGTGACTTACATGTAACAGCCAGTGGGCTATCCAGATTTAATAGGAAATGACGTTTATGACATACTTGTGACTGGTCCCCTGCATGTTTTCTGCATTAATTTCCCCATTCGGCTATTGTTAACTTTTCAGGCCAGGGAGAGTGTGCGACTCATGTCCATCGTTGGCTTTGTCCTGTCAACGCTTTCCTTACAAGAAATCCTCAGCTACTTACAGCTAATACTAGCTCCACAGCTGCAGATATTAGAAAGTGCAATAAACGAACAGGTATGTCTAACCCATTAGCAACTGTACTACATTGTATTACATTGTGTTCATTCACTGAAAAATCCATAAAATCATAGAGTGCTCAGGCAGTTTTTGTTATTCCCCAAAATCTGCATATTCCATTCATGTACAAAACACCCGCTATAATGTACAAAGACACCATTAAACTTTGTGTTCAATATAGTCTGTGTGGTGGCGTCTTTAGAACTACTATTTAGGGCCGGGGGATGATCTTATGGCCTGGCGTCGTAACTTCACACAGGCCAACTGCGATTAATTCCTGCCTGTCGGGAACACATTCCGTTGCGGCGCAGAAGTTGAAATTTTTCTACTCTTGCGACTGTTGATATTTTTTAGCGCAGACTGATGCCGGTCGCCTTAATATCGTCACAGTTACACTCAGGTCACAAAAAATCGGCAACTGATATGTTCCCAACTGTCATAGCTCAGGTGAAGCTTGATCCTGAAAAGTCAGTCGCCGACTGATCTGCGTCGTTACAGGGTTCACCTGAGGGTGGCTTTAAGTTTATGCGCTGTATGTTTTTAATCGCAGCCATTGGAGGCCTAAAGGTGATTCATGCCTGGCTTCACATTTTTGTGCACAGTGATTGGCGTGTGTGCCATTCATCAGTGAATGTTCTCACCTCTCAGTACTAGACCTTGTGCGTTAAGACGGAGTCAGAGGGTAGTGGTTTTGTATAGCTTGTATGGGCATGACTAAACCTTTTATTCATTCATTGTTGGTAATAAGTTCTTTTGTCACAATGTCCTCACAAGAGGATGATTGGTCACAAAGCCGTCTTTACCTCATCTGTTTTCTTGTCCTAGCATGCCCTTAGGTATATCAGATTTAAAGAGGTATCTGTCTATTTTCCGTTATCTTCAGTTTGTGTAATCTTGGGCCATGTTCGAATTACTTGCCTACATATGGAAATTTCACACATGCTCTATGGAAGAGGCTGCAGCCACTTCTCATAGACCTGTGTAATATTTCCAGCCCTAGCCACGTAATAGTCCTTTATCATGCTGCCACCATTTCAGTCATGTTCCCTGTATCCAATTACAGTACTGAATGATATTTTTTTTGTTCAAAAAGGAACCAGGCTATTTTTCCTTCCAACCTCGCTTTGGTTACATTGATCTGAATGGGAAAAAATCAAATGGCTGCAACATGTCAGTGGTCTATTCAGGCACAGCCTAACTCTAGCTCAATTGTAACTCACTGTTGTGTAGGAGAAAGATAACAGTAGCGCCCCCAGCAAAGACAGCTCGGCGTCTTGCAAAATCCGACCGTCACCCTCGGGGGTATGTGTGGTGCAGATGCATCATGGGATGTGCACCTGATGCATGCTGGGATGCGAGTCCGGTGCATGCTGGGATGCGAGCCTGGTGCATGCTGGGATGCGAGCCCTGTGCATGCTGGGATGCGAGCCCGGTGCATGCTGGGATGCGAGCCCAGTGCATGCTGGGATGCAAGCCCAATGCATGCTGGGATATGAGCCCATTGCTGAATCGCAATAATCATTGCCACAAATATTTTTGCATCTTTTTCTTAAAGGTATAGTCCATCATTTGTAATTTCTGCATTTTTTTGGTTTGAAGCAACAAAAGTGCTCAGAATCTAAAGAAGGGTGCTTAACAACTAACCTGATGAAGTTTTAGCTCAGTGAATGCTGTATATATTTGAGAAAACATTCTAGGATCTCAGTTCCAATTTAAAAGTTGCCGAGTCATGTTTTGAATTGCACCCAAATTCAGCGTCTGGGACACATTCTTATTCACCCAATTGCAGCTATGCGATGTCACGCACCAAAATGATGAATTGTAGCAACCATGCGTGCATGTGCGTCATGTCAACGCTTGTGCGCACCAGTCACCAAATTAAAAACGAATTACGGAAATTTCCAAAATGCATTTTTAGATGCATCTTCTTTCATTGTTTTCTTCAAAATGATAGCATGCCAGAAAGAATAATTTCACAAGGAGTTTAGTGCCATTACTATCTTTAAACCAAGTAAGCTTAAAAACAATAATTTTGTCAGTTACTTTTGGGATAGCTGCAAATGATGTACTCTACCTTTAAACTGTCGGAAAGTGGCTCCAGAAATGTCTTTGTGAAAGTGCTCAGTAAGAAAGTCCTAGTTTTGTTCATAAAAATGCTTTGGGTTCCAACAAAGCCTCATTATTAGTAGGGTCTTTGACCTGATTACACCATCCAAACCATGCCAGTCAGCATGAAATGTTAAACTTTCGCAAAGGTTGCCAACATTCGCAGGTGTGCACAAACATTGGCAAAATTTGAATAGTTTGTATAAGTGGAATGCCTTTATATTAGTAAAAAGTTTGATTTTGGTGCATTTAGGCAAGTTTGGTTTCATAATTTGGTCTTGTACCCGGACTGTGGTATAGAAGTTTCTGCATTTCAGCATGGCCAGGGTCTAAGGAACCTGCACTATTAATACATATTTTCCTTCAAGTTTGCATATAAGTTTATACTTTCCTTCTCACCATCACGCCCAAACCAGCCCACCCCTATCACCAAGTCGACCATCCTTCTCAAGATCAACATGCTGTCCAATCTCTGTTCGACCCTTGACCTGAAGCGGCCGGACCGGACCGAGCAGGAGGAGGAGTCAATAGCAGCCAAGAGGGCGGCGCCGGCCCAGGACGAACCCCAGCCGGTGTTCCTAATCCTGCAGCAGACGTTGCCGATCCTGCAGAACCTTCTCAGTGTCTGGATATCTGACGTGGGCGTGGTCGAAGTAAGAATCTTTTTAACGAGTTCGCGTCGGAGGACGTGAATTACGTGATAACACTCACTGGCTGTTTTTGCACACAGGCACGGCTGACGGGTTAAAACGTTTAAGACTCGCCTCTGGGTGACTTCTAAACCTGCTAATCCCTCGTGTCTTTTGTACACACACATAAATTCCGTGAAGTCTGTGGAGGCCGACCGTGTGTTAATCTTGAATTGGCCGTTGTGCACGGCCTATTGTTGTACAATTTATGCTCCAGTGCACACCCCGGAGTATTGAAACCTATGGGGTTTTGGCAAGAAATATCGTACAAATACTGTTGAAATGACTCTTGCGCATCAGTACATGTATTTGTGGCATTTGGTTGTATATCACAAGTTGCCTTGGAAAATTTTGCCTATGGAAAAGAAATCCCAGTGCGATATAAATGCATATTGTATTAAATGCGTATAAGATCACTATATTTACTTTTCATGCATTTTGTTCATTTCCAGTAACATCATTCGAAATCTTAAGAATTAATCTACCCTTTTCAAAAACTTTTGAAGAATGCTAACTATCCTCATTTCAAAGAATTTCGCTTTACAAAGTCAAAAAAACCAAACCGACACTAACGCAATTTGTTAATTTTGGTATCCAGGCAGTCTGCGAGTTGCTAAGGAGAGCCAGTCGGACGCTGCTTGACGATCTTCAGCCAATGATACCCCAGCTGGCCGAGCTTGTCGCCACAATTTACAATGCTCTGCCACAGTCGGCCATCTTGGATCTAGCCCGACAGGTACGTACATGCCAGTCTGAACGCAGCCTCATGGGGGGCATTAAGTGTCTGAGACTGGTCAGCGCATTGTTGACCTGTGACGAAGAGGTCCACTTTAACCCTAACCACCCTGAATCCATCAAAATTCTCTTTGCCAAAGTGGAGGAATTGGGAGGATTGAGGTTGCATGGCAAAAGTGCGTTACTGATTTTGTAGAATGCACTTTGTCAAGGTCTTGGGCCGGACCTTGTGTTGTTTTAAATAAATATAGGCGTGGATTATGCTTGAAATCTTCCGTTTTGCTCCAGGATGTCACTGGCCAAGCCTCAATATATTGACAGTCACTGCCGCAGGATTTTGCAGGATTCAGGTAGTGGTCACCCCTCCACGGACCATATTCAAGACAAATGGAGGAATTTGCAGGATTGAGGCTATATGCTGTTTTTACATGAGGCCAATTGGAGGATTTTGCAGGATTGAGGCTACATCTTAGCAAAAGGCCTAGGGAGTAAGGGTTAATTGAAATATCCATGCGCCTGCAAGTAGGGTGTTTCATAGTCTGTGTGACTGGCAGACTATCCCGACACTACAGGTATTGATGGCAGACTCATCATTGCATTGGTAAACTGGCTTTCGGCATGTGTGAACTTGGTGGCATAAACATAGATAATTCCCCGACACAGAATCTGATTTGAGTAAATTCTTTAGAGGAGAAAATTGTAGGGCTGTGCATAGGAACCGGGTACCGGAGTACCCGACCGTTGATGTCTGGAATCGGTTCAAGATTATGGGATCGAGTATCCGTAACCAACTTTACATATGACTTAACTTCTCAGACAATGAAAAAGAAGGGTTTTTGAATGCAATTTTGGGGGAAGTTTCATAAATGAAAACCAGGCCACATGGGAAAACAAAACATATTTCACATGGATGACGCTCTCGAAAGTTGCACTTTACACTGTAAAGCTATAAAGCTCACTGTACACGTTGTATCAGGCTGTATTGACGCACCGACGTACAGGTAGAAGTACTATCATACGGACCTTTATGAACACAATCTGAACAGCAACTTCCGAGATTTGAACTTTGGGGTTGGGTTTCTTTAACAGGTACCCAGGTACCAATGTTTTTTTTAATCAGATACCGGTTTCTGTACTACATGTACCTGTTAATGCAAATTGGAGATATTTTTGATGCTTATGGTTTTTGCCGGTTTGGGGGAAGGGGGGGGGGGGATTGCTCGCCGGGGTGGGGGGGGGGCTGTTCCCTCTCCCTTCAAACCTTCAAATCTTATCTTGCCTGAAATTGTATCGTTTGGAAGAAACACTCAATGAAGGTTTTTAAAAAAAGTGTGTCTGTATGGCCGTGTGCTCACTTTTTTTTATGTGCACTTGCAACAGAATCTAATTATTCAACCCAACAGAATTGTGTGTACGTTTTTTCTGTTTTACTGAAAATGTACAGTAGCCACTGAGCTAAAACATGAAAAGGTTAGTTGTTGTGCAACGTACTTAAGAGTTTGAGCAAGTTTGTTGCTTTATTATTATCTATTTCTGGCAATGAAACCAAGGATTCCTCAAAAGCAGCCTAGGCACTGTAGATCGCAAGCCTGAGGAAACCTGTAGAGAGGAGACAATGAGAAGAAATTACAGTTTTATAGGTGGGAGGAAAACCCCAGAAGAATATTCTGGGGGGAACCCACGGAAGCAGGTAGGAATTGAAAACCCAATCCACATGTTGGACCAGGCTGGATTCGAACCCGCATCACAGCGGTGGAAGGGGTCCGAATCCCGCCTGGGCCAACATGTGGATTGGGTTGTCAAACTGAGAAAAACAACCGACAGAAAACAAATAATGCTGCATTCATGTAACTTGACATATCTATCTGCTAACTTCATTGAATCTTGTTTGAATCTTGTACCTTCGAAAAAGTTAATTTCATCAAAGTTTGGGTTGTCCCCACTTGGACCCTTTTGACGAAGGCCAGAATCACAGTTTAATCACGAGGTTTGATAAGCGGTGTTTACATGTACGTGTAGGTCACGTCCTGGCACTCACTCTGATTGGGAGGAAACTTTGAGCTTTTGAAATTTGTGTGAAATCTGTTATCTTTGCTATTAATTTTTTCTTCATTCAATTTTTTTTATAATTTTGTTCCTGTCTGTTTGCTGTCAATGTTTCATAGGTCACCAAACATGGAATAGCTGGGTCAAAATTTACACTCCATATTTTTGGATCATGGGACTCTGAATAAAATGATACCTGTATTTTTTTTTTTTCCAAAAATTGGAACAGTTTTAATTTGCGTTCTCATTTTTAATTTGGTTTTCCTGCCCAGTTTTCCTTGTAATGTTATTTTGATCATGTTATTGCCAGCATGAAGAATAATAGAAAGAATAGGTCCCCTTTTTGTCCCATACGTAACGCCGTGTTTTCTTTAATTACATAATCATCGCAAAGATTAAAAGTTGAATAAAAACACTGAAATCCATGAATATCTGAAAGGGTTAAACTTTCATCACCTGTACGTATGAAACATAGCGTGCGCCAATTCTTGGACTTGCCCTGTAACTAATAGTGACTTTGAGTTTAAAGTGAAAAGAAACTCCGTTGCTTATTTCGTAATTTTTTCTTTATGTGTACTAATGTTGTGCAAACCCGAACCAAAACCGAAACCGACTTGAGCCAATCTGACACCGACTTCTGGTCGATCAGGTCGGTTTTTCCATCATTTCAGTCAGGTCTGGTCGGTTTAGGTTTTTCAGTTTTTGGGTCGGGTCGGTTAAGGCATATTGGGAAAAACCTAAGATAACCGAAATAAACCCCCAAAACACCAAACCAGTTTGGAAATTCACGCGGTGCAATAATATTGCTGAGTTACTGTGCACGGTATGACCAACGTCTACCCACCGCACCAATGTGCATGTGGTTTATGGTATATCACACACAGTCTATGACATGTGGGCCCACCAGGAGGTAACGTTAAGAGTCTTCACCTCACCATACGGTATAATTCTTTACTGAGAGACGACGATTTTCACGCAACACAGAGCCACGCGGGTAAGTTCAGGCACAAAAAGCGGACACAGTTGCCCAAGCCAGATATTCGGGGGGGTTTTCGGTTCGGTTCGGTTTCAGGTTGGTTCAGGGCAGGTTTTGCTTGAATTTTTGTCGGGTCAGGTCGGGTGGGTAGGATTTAGGGAGTTCAGAAGCGGATTCGGTTTATATCTATAATATTTTGGGTCGGTTTGGCCTGGTCAACCCAACCCGATGCACAACATTAATGTGTACCCTCTTTTCCCCCAGATTATTATTCTGTTTGGCGACAGCAAAGATGTCTGCTCTGCTGTGGGCGCCATGTTTGTTGAGCTCTGCTCCAAAACAGTCAGTCTCTTTCCAGCACGTACGTCCCACAAATAATGCTTTGAAATTTCCTACAGCTTGCCTAGTGACACTTTCACTCTTAAGGCCACTTCATACTTCACCGGAATGCAAATGCTTTACGAATTTGACGCCATGAAACCTTCGCTATGAAATTTGCCGTAACAGTTTAACTTTAGAAATTGACCAGTGCAAACCTTTTGTTTTTAAATTCAGAAAAATTTGTGAACAGGTTTTTATGGATTAAAATTTTCAGTCATTTTCAAAAATCCCATATTCAGTATAATGAAAAAGAGTTCTGGAGGAGTTGAGACCTTGCCGAGAAGCAGTTTTTTTTCACAAAGTATTAAGTTTAAAGTTTTACCTTAAACACTGAACATTTTTGATCAAAATGATACAGTTTTGTTTTCATTTTTCTTTTTTTGAAACCAGGGGCCAGAGAGCAGACGGATGTTGTAGAAACATTCATGGCTGTCTGTTCAATCGTAAGTCTGGATTATAAGGATGTTTCAATATAAATAAAAAGTCTTTTTGATCAAAGGTGTACATTTATTCAGATATTGATAAAATTAATTTTTTTTTAGATAGCAGGGGTGTGAAATCTCAGCTTTAAAGCTGATTTCAGCTGTTTTTGTTTTGGATTTCAGCTTTTTCCCCCTCACTTGCCGTGTACAAAAGTATCTATCCAAAGTTCAGCTTTTTTACACCTTTTTCAGCTGTTTTCAGCTTTTTTTATCAGAGGTCACTCACACCCCTGGATAGTTTAAGTTGCTAATTTACATTGGCCCTTTTGAGACTCTCTTTGTCTAAGCATCTTAAGCACTTTTCATGTATATTTTTTTAATGATAAAGCCATCTGTATTCAGACATATGACCTCAGTTATAACTGTGTGACCTTTGACCTTGTGTTGACCTTGTGCATATTTTGTTTACTCCAATGCAGCTACTGAAGAAGCAGAGCCGTGTGTTTGTTCGTGAGGGTTGCAATCCGGCGGCCATTTTCCAGTGTGGCCTGATGGCCATTACATTACCAGAGAATCCCACGGTCAAAAGCACCTGCAACTTCTTTGTGAGTGAAATGAAAAGATTTTGAGCGCATAGCAAAATAATGTACACTTTAAAGGGAAAATACAACATTTGCAAACCTCAAAAAATAAAACTACCAAATCATTTTGAAATACCTTGCTGGACTGTTAGTGAATGACAGTGTAAAGCATCCTGTAAAATCATGGCACCTGGTATACTGTCATTTAAAAGAAAAGTGGTATTTTTGTATCAATTTCCAACGCTGATCGGCCGACCAGCGTTGGGAAAAAACTGGCTTTTTTTTCAAACACTGGCCCCAGTTGACCATCGCACTTGTTTGCAATAGATTACACACCTATGAACGGGTACAAGCCAGCTAGACTGGTTCCCTGACCTTACAATTCCCCAATGTATGTAAATTGCTCTGTTTCTTCTTAAATGGAGTCAGGGAACCAGACTACAGGAAAATGATTGTTTTTCTTGGTTTTTATAGCATTTTCGAACCCAAAACCTCAAAAAAGTCAGTGTAACTGTATTTGCTATGTATTTCCAACCCCCCAATTCCATCCATTTCTGAAAATTACAGCAAAAGCAAATGATGTATATTCCCTTTAAATAACAATTCATGAATACCTAAATACAGTTTACCCATTCCCATTGGTCGACAGCCTGTCACATGGCCGATCTGAAACGGATGATAACGACATGGCTGGCTAGTCTTAAACACTTTTCCAGTGTCACAAGAAATTTGGACTCTATGAAAGCTAGTGCCTTTACCCTTTTATTGGTTGAACGTTCACAATCCTCACCTAGGCATGCACAACACTACCAGTGAGTCAGTATTTCATTGTCCTAAATTCACAACGCACTCGCCACAGCTGCATCTGAGCAACATCGTGCAGCGCGCGGGACGTGCACGCCAACCTCCATAAAAGGAGTTGTTTACGTCTTAACCCTGGACATTCCAGTATATAGCTGGAGGGGTGTTTCAAAAAAAAAAAAAAAAGGGAAATTGTTGAACAAAATCGTGGGAAAGTTTTAATTTTTGACTTTTTTTGACTTTTGGACTGAAAGGTTTTGATTTTTCAACTGAAAAAGTATTTATGAATGAGAATAAGTGTGTGCTTAGGAGGTATCAAACACTATGTTTAAGACCGGTTGGAGTCTGGATGCTGATAATTACATGTCATTGTAATTAAATTGAAATTCACTAGTTGCCCAGGCCAACAGAGGACTGTATTTTGTAATATTTGAAGGCAGACTCATTTGTAAAGTTAGTGAGGAGTGTGGCCAAGAAGTTAGCAATAGCATTCCCGATTCGTCAGAGGGTCAGGGGTTCCAATCCAGCTGCTGGTCATATGTTGTGTCCTTGGGCAAGCTACTTCACCCCCACTTGCCTCTCTCCACCCAGGAGTATAAATGGGTACCGGCATTAGCTGGGGAGCAACATGCGATGGACTGGCATCCCATCAAGGGGGAGTAGAAATATTCTTAGTTGTTTCATGCCAAGGAAACCAGAGATAAACGCCGGCCTGATGGGGCGTATTGGCTCATGACAGACTTGTGACAGACTTTATTTACTTCACGTGCATTCTGTGTTTGTTTTTGTCCATAGATGTCATTTATTGCCCAGTCGGATAATCTCCCAGCCCTGGGTGAGGCTCTGACGCAGCATGGCCGATCCTTGCTGGAGTTGGTTCTCAAGGTAACAGAACGGTTATCTTTATTGAAGTACCGGTAGTGTTTATTATATTTATATTAACTTGTATTTAATGAAGAAATAAAGATTGCTTGAAGGACGTGACATGATAAGTAGAAAATGTGGCGAAGGCAAAAGACTAGGAAGGAAAAACATATTACATGTAGAACGAATATTTGGGGTCCCTCTTTGTCCCAGGACAATTTTTAGGAGATACACAGTGTACGAGGAATAGAACATTTGTTAAGCATAAAAATGTTGGCCTAGCGTAAACACATACTTTTTATAGGTTTATAGCCAAAATGTTATGCAATGTCTAATGTGTGAACCACTTCTCAGCTGTTGTTTTGTTTCAGCGCATAAATTATGTGAATATCACTTTTGCATAGTAGAGCTAAGAGAAACAACTTTTTTATCTAAATACTACACAATATTAACCATCCTGTGCAAGCATACATTCTGTGCCAAGTAGTAATTTCAAATGAAAATCAAACAAGTGACTGTTTTCAACAGTTCAGAATTCCCAGCCTACATAAAGCAGGATTGACTGGCCGTGACTGTTTAAGTAAATTTATACAGCTTTGCTCTGGCTGTGGGTGATTGATAAGCCAGCTGTGCCCACAACTTGCCTGTTTTGTCTGTTGCACCAGTTTGACTAGTCGCAGTGCTTGCTTGACATATGATCTGACTGCTGTTGACTAGCCTTTGTTAATAGTATAGTAGGGGAAGTGGAAGTGTATTTTGAATGTCTGTGACTGTTTAAATAGCAGGAGGGTTTACTATTATTTACTGTTGAGCAGAGCTATCTGAATGTTTAAATGTTTAAGTTTTTACGTCTTTTCTTCTTGTAAAATATTATATCAAACATCGGATCAACTTGAAACATTGCTTAACAAATTACCAAAAACAAAGTTCTAAACATATTTATGGTTAAAGAGCCCAAACAGTCCAGTGTCTGTTGACTAAACAGGCTTCTGAACATGTGTTGGGTTTTTTTTTTGGGTGGGGTGAGGGGTGTTTTTTCTTGATTGTTTATTTGGTTGTTTGATTTTTTATTTATTTTTATTGCTCAGGACATGAATAATATTTTATACAGAGCATTATTTTCTGTTAAGCAACTCCAAAATGAAAATTTGGCATTGAGCTTGTTTTTCCTTTGCAGGCCATCGGCGGAGCAGCCCCGCGCACGGTCATCGAGTCGCTGGCCGACGTTCTCTTCATGCTCAACAAGCATTGCTTCAGCCAGCTGACCAGCTGGCTGCCAGAGATGGTCCTCAGCCCAGACCTCAACCTCCCCCGCGTCACCAAGGACCAACGGGAGCAGTTTGCCAAGACCATACTCAGGTGGGTCTCAAAAGCATATAGGCTTTGTTCTTGAACAAAAGAGGGCACTACGGCATGTCTTAAAATACAGTATAGTAAAGTCTGTCACAAGCCAATGTGGCCCATCAGGCTGGCGTTTATCTCCGGTTTTAGTAGCATGAGATAATTGAGAGTATTTCTATTCCCCCTGGATGGGATGCTAGTCCATCGCAGGTTACTCCCTAGCTAATGCCGGTGTCATATGAAAATCCGACTCCTATGAAAATTGGACTCCTTTTCCCTATGATTGGTCAATCCCTCGCATGTGACAGGTCACTCTCCTATAATAGGCCATTTACAGGCTATTATCATGCTTACGCATGCACAATACTACGAACGAGTCCATTTTTCATGGAGTCGGATATTCACGCTACACCGGTTCCCGTTTATACTCCTGAGTGGAGAGAGGCAAGCGGGGATGAAGTGGCTTGCCCAAGGACTCAACATATGGCCAACAGCTGGATTTGAACCCACGACCCTCTGATCATGAGTCACAAACCCTAACCACTAGGCCACACTCCCCCAAAATAAGGTGTACCCATTTCAGATGCCCATTTCTAAATGTGAATTATCAGAAATGTACTGAATATTGAAAAAAATAGACAACTACAAGGAAAAAAGGCCAAGATGTCCTCTATCCAATGATATTAAGTTCATTACTTCATTGTCGTGGATGAAGGAGCAAACAAGGCCTCTACGATACTACCTCAAAATTTGAGATCTAGAATCCCAACAAAAAATGTGTAGTTTAATGTTTTAGTTGTTATCATTTCGTCAATGGCATTTTTCGTTCATGGACAGGGTTGAATGACTTACTAAGGCCAGTTCTGGCAAACATTGACTCACGATGAGAAAATGGATACGTGACCTGTTTCCTTTTCATCGACGGTCAAATCTCGATGAAAATGACCATCACATGTCCTAGGATGCTTTGTAAAACGTGGCCGTTATCACCCAAAATAAGTTTCGTAACTCGAGGTCCTGTTTACATGTGTACTTAGTTGGGCAAGAAGCACGATTTGTAAATTTTGGACAACTGAAAGGATATTTTCGTCCTGTGTGGTCAGGGGATACTGACCTCTAGGTGATCTTTGGACTGGTCAAGTTTATCGCTCTGGCCAACCCATTGTAGTAGCTAGTTGTGTTTCCCTCCACAGATAGAATTTCTTTACTAAAATAGTTTATTATTAACAGGAGCATTAGGCCAAAAAAAAAAAGTCTCCGGTTTCTGGTATGCGCGCGCGTCGCCGTAGCCATGCGCGTCGGCAAAATGAAAAGGTTTTTTTTTCAATAAAAGATGATGTCTCAAAACCGCCAAACTCACTGGTTCAACTGGAATCCTGCTGCTGCACAATTTTAACGTGTTTTTAGATGGGGTTATGATCGAGAATAAGCTTTATGTGGCCTCTCTGGACTCCCATATATTTGCACTAGGTTTAGTCGGGCACCATTTGCAGTCATCAGCCGACATTTGAAGCAAAAAAAACAGGTAAAAAAAAAAAAAAAGCCGCGTCGCCGCACCACTTTTTGGGCAAGCTCCATACCAGAAACCGGAGACTTTTTTTTTTTGGCCTTACAGCCTGAAATCCCCCAAAATGTCATGTTTTGGATTGTTTACTTATCCTATTTTGAAGGTCTGGTTGAAAGGAAACTTACCTAATGACTTACCATTCCCGAGAAAAGACGGAAAAAAACCATTGGTCACATCGGATGCAATGGACATTTTTTAACATACATGTCCTCATACTGGAATTTGTATCCTCGTGGAGTCATTTCTTTGTTCTCGTGTACTAACATTTTAGAGTTTGAAAGTGCAGTTTCAAAATGCTCCTATTTTAACCAGATTTTATTTCCTGGGCTGAAATTCGTACTTAATATCCCTTACATAAAATACTTCAATTTGCGACGGATCAACACACCTTGGAAATTCCTAGTTTTTGAGTAAAATCCATATATCTTTTTCGTGATAACCTTATGGAGACATATTCACCTATAGAAATTGCCCTGTGGAGACATTTACAATCTTTTTGTTCCCTATTATTCACATGTCTCCACAGGGTACAGTGTACCTGATCATACGTTTTTCAAGTTGTATCTTTTCAATGTATCGTACTTGTTCCGTGTGTGTGAATATGGAATACACACAGCACCAATACACAAAACGTTATTTCTCAAACATCCGCATAATACATGTATGCTATATCGTGTGGCTGGATTCACAACTACATGTAGCGCTCAACAGCCCAAAATTTTGACCCCAAAATTCGTTCTCGCAGAGTTCTCGCAAGATTAACACAAAAGCACCCAGTTTTTAAAGGATGGTTGTGTGGACATTCATAACCTACTTTAAATGCTCTTTCCAATTATTATAATTTCAGTTAGAGCGCGTTTTGTAGCCCAATTGGGCTCGTTCCAGGAGGTAATGTCCCTTTAAGAGTAGCTTCCTACATTGTACATCAGTATTTGAAATGGTTCATTGGACTACTAGGTGTTGGATACTGTGACGATGAGAAGTTTACTCAAAGTTAACATGAAGAGACGTTGGTTGTTGTTTTTGTTTTTTCCTTTTACAAATTTATTCAAATTGCAATTTGTATAATAGATTCCTGCAGCCATTGTGAAACAAGCCAAGTACATAACGAATAGGACTTTTCACAACTGTTGCAAAGTTGTGTAAAGCACATCTACTTACGATTGATTTGAATACAAAATTGACCTGACATGCAACGTTTTTGATTATTTTAAACAACTTTGGCCAAGTTCGGGCAAGGACCATTAGTCGACTAGTGGTTGATTTGTGATGTACCTTACGCCTGCGCACTGATAGCAACGTGCGAACGTCTATCGTCAAACGCTGGTCAAAATGTCATCGCAAAACTTCTGGATCCTGGCTCTCTGCTAGCGTTATGAATGCGCACGGCTATTGGTTACCAGCGAAGCAACCAACCCCAGTAGGCTGGTTCCAAATAGTCGACTAGCGTAGTCAACCATTGTCGACTAGACAGAGTTCGGGCAAACGTTAGTTAACCATTGGTCAACTATAGTCCTTGCGCGAACTTGGCCTTGGATGAGGACAGACACAGTTTTTAACCAGGACTGATTGTCTGTCATTTCATTCACGAAACAGTCGTTGAGTTACATGTACATGTTACTTGACCACAATTTAGAAAAAAAGTTTCGTCTGTTCAAGTTTCATTTTTACATCCCAGACTGTACATAAGGTGTTTCCCAATTTTCTAACCCTATAAATATGCAATAACAAATTTGACTACGTGAGAGCATTTTACATTGTTTGAACGATTGCTAATGTAGATTTCAGCAAAAGCTACCCCCCCCCCCCCCAATTGTTCTGGTAACTTTTGACCCGCAAAGCACAAATCAAGTGTTTCGCAAACATCAATCTGACATCAGCTTCACATTGTTGTTCTAAAAATATACCCGTGATGAACGAGTGTTTATCGGAGCCTCTCTGGTCGCTTGGGTTTTTAATAATTTGTGAGAATAGACGGTTCAAAAGTCGTTCGAACTCTGAGATAAAAATATAAACTTTGATAATTTTATTTCACAACAATTTTTTTTTTGTGGGGGTGGAGGTTGGACAGGCACTATCTTACAAATCTAGAGCTGTCAAAGTTTGTTCTTATAAAAAAAAATGTGTTGCTTTTTGTTTCGCTTTTGGCAAACCGTTTTAAGGGCCCATGGGATTGGAATTCTTAAGTGGAATCTTTGAAATTCACTACATTTCACTTCATTTGTAGTCTCTGTATCGCCATCGCTAAGGGGTCTTAGGACTTTTTGGATAAGTTTGTTTAGTTTAGTTTTTGCATTTGTGGGATTCCTCACAGCAACAAAACACCTTATTCCAACCGATTTTAAGAGTACTGTAGTGTGACGTCAGCTGTCATTGTTCTGGTTCGCGCACTGATGTCTTCACACACTTAAGCTGTGCGTGTGGAACAGAATACGTGGCACACCTCGGTACTCTATAGAGCCCTTTTCATTGTGCATTTTGTTGCACTTTTTCAAATAAATGAAAGAAAAGTAACATGTATTCAAATGGTAAACAAATATAGACAGGTGCAATAGTAATTGAACACAACGAAAACAGCAAACAAGACAAACATAACTTGTCCAAGTTCTTTTCTGGATGATTTTCTATTGATGATCGGGGGAGGGGTGGGGAGGGGGATGCACAGGGGGTAGGGAGGCAAATTGAGGCCCCCCCCCCTCCCAAACATACCACAGCATTTTGGCACCTGCCAAAATGTACATCTGAAGGTAGGAATTGTGACCCCAGCTCAAAAAATAAGGACAGGGGGGAGATGGAATGTGTTTGTCTTCTTTTCTAGAAATCCCTTCCTCAACATCCTTAAATCTGGTATTCTCTAAACCATTCATTCCTCCGGACCAGCTTCAATCAGGAATTTTGCCGTTCTTGTACTTGCGTGTAAAGCCACATAGGATCATTTGAAATTACCTGGAATTACCAATTTTCATGACAGAAATCTCACTAAAAGTGAAGATAGGGAGGGTACTAGATACCCTGTGAAATTATTCCGCCTGAAATGGTATGAAAACTACATAGTAACATTGAAAGTGGTTTTAAAATAGTGTGTCCAATGGCACACTTTTTTACGTGCCTTATTAACGGAATATAGTTACGAGACCCAAAAATGTCGCATACATTTTCACCGTTTTCTCAAAATGTATAATATCCACTAAACTGAAACTTCAACAAACATAAATATTGAATTCAACAAACAGGTTAGTTGTTGTGCTCCCTACTTCAGATTTTGAGCAAGTTTGTTGCTTCAAATGAAAAAAAGTGCACAATAACCCAAATTATGCAATGTTTGTACCTTTAATCTGTGTCCTTGTATAGCAATGTTGACACTCAAAACAAATTGCATGACTCCTCGTAATATCCTTATCTTATCTACTGTGTACAGAACAACATTCAGCGTGATGAAATTCGGCTTGGC